ACTGTCAGCTGCCTATATAGCAATGTGAGGGGGGTGAGAGGAAAAATAGGTAAACTCCGAAATCTCCAAGCACACCTACAACTGAAAATGATCATTCTCACCGAAACATGGCTAACCCCCACTATCGCCGACAACGAAATCAGTATAGGTGATATGGTTCTGGTCAGGAGAGACAGGGATAATAAGGAAGGAGGGGGAGTTGCTATGTACTTTGACAGGCAACTTAAATGTGTGCGCGCAACGGACCCACCTCTTATTGAACTCCCAGACTCCACATGGTGTCATTTCACCGTAGGCCACACCAAGCATTTACTTAGTGGCATCTACCAATCTCCCACCTGTGGGGTAGAGCACAATCAGCTACTGCTAAGCACTAACACAGGGATACGAGACTTGGGCTATGACCAAATCACCATAGCTGGAGATTTCAATGCCCCATCACTGAACCTTGGCTCAGGGTATGCTAAGGGAAAATTTGGCCGAAATCTACTGCAGACTATTCGAAACACGGGACTGACTGAGAACGTTGGAGACGACACTAGGTGGGGCCCTAGCGGAAAGTCATCCAAACTAGACTACATTCTAACTAGTGACCAACTACTCGTCGAAAAGGTCCAGATCATGACCCATCTAGGAAGTAGTGACCATGCAGTCATAGGTTTCGATCTCGTTCTCCGTGAGCATTTGCAGTGGGACGTTACGCGACCATGTCTGTGTTACAGCAAGGCTGACTATGCTGAAATGAGGAGGCTTTTGTCCGATTGGCCCTTAGCATGAGATGAGCTACCTGTGGATGAACACTGGGAGGTGGTAAAAAAGATTATTCATGCAGTAATCTCGGATACCGTCCCTTTAGTCACAACACAGCCCAGAAGAAAGTCATCATGGTTGAAGAGAGGCACGCAACGTATTCTGCAAGCGAAGCGGAAGGCTTGGTTTACGTGGCGCGTATCTAAGAGCCAGATCGACCATGATGCATACCTGGAACCCAGGAACCGGTGCAATGCAAGAGTCATGAGGGACAGGAGGTCATTCCAGGCTAACCTTGCTAAAAACTCCTGTCGGTAAGAAAACCAACGAACCTGGAGGCATGAGCCTTAGTAGACCCAAGCGGTCAATATCTCGCCAGTCTGGAGATGGCTCAAACGTTTAGTTTAGCCTTCGCCAAACAGCTAAACAGCAATGTGGGTATTAACGTTACGGACCAAAATGGTGGCACCACTATTTCACAGGAGGAAGACCTAATGGCTACTGCCCAAATAAACCCCGCAATAGTACTAAGAAAGCTACAGTGACTCACACCTGGGAAGTCCCCAGGTTGTGACGACATCAGGCTATCTGTTCTGAAACAATGCGCCGAAGCTCTCTGTGGGCCCTTATGCAACTTGTTCCAACACTCCATGGAATCGGGAAAACTGCCAAGGGAGTGGAAAAGAAGCATCCTTTCTCCGATCTTCAAGGGTGGGGATAGGCGAAATCCCACTACTTATAGACCAGTAGCTCTACTCCCAGTGGTATCAAAAGTACTGGAAAGTATTATTTACGATCTATAAGGGAATATCTCGATAGATCTAATAAACTCCATGAAGCCCAACAAGGTTTCAGGAAAGGGAGATCATGCGTTACTAGCTTACTATCAGCTTGGGACGATTGGACATCATGCTGGGATATGAATGTTCCAGTCCATGTGGTCTTCCCAGACTTTGAGAAGGCATTTGACACTGTTCACCATGACCTTCTCCTACACAAAATAAGCCAGGTAGGTATAGGTAAGCCACTTCTGTCATGGTTAAATGGCTACCTAACTGAAAGGCAAATTTGCACTAAGGCCAATCGAGTCCGATCCTCGTGGCACAATTCGTTATCAGGAGTGTCGCAGGGTTCTATCCTAGGACCACTAATGTTTTTGATTTTTATCAATGATCTACCATGCCGTCTAAGCTGCCCGACTCTTCTATACGCTGACGACGTGAATATATGGAGGACGATAAAGGGCTCGGAAGACTCCGATTGTTTGTAGGCAGATCTAAAGCTTCTGGAAGACTGGGCGGCGGCCAGTGGCATGACTTTCAACCTGAAAAAGTGTAAAGTAGTGAAATTACGCACCTGTAGACTGCAGAATGCAAGTTACACCCTGTGCAATGAAAGCTTGTCCTGCACAACGCCGGAGCGCGACTTAGGTCTAGTTCTAACGGGGAAAATGGACACAAGCGTAAATTAAACGGGGGATGTAGCGAGGGCCTATGCGGTCATACACTTTGTACATAGACAGTTAGGTGCACTCGCACCTGAGCTCTTTCTGAGGTTGTACAAAACATACGTCAGACCACACCTTGAGGTGCATAATAGTGTTGCACCCTGACTGCTTAGAAGAGACGCCAACCTCTTGGAAAGAGTCCAACGACGGGTAACGAAAGGAGTGGTTGGTCTCCGAAATAACCATATGATGAAAGACTGAAGAAATTAGGCCTGTAAGAGTTAGACTTAGTATTAACTTCGACCTAAAAGTAACCACTCTTACAAAACTTCTTCACCGCTTATGGCCTTAATCGCACTCTGCCTAACGTGCAAGTACTAACGAACGGAATCAAAGTTAAAAGACCTGAGATGGCAAGTGTGACTGGAACAGAATTGTATTTACACAAAAGAGATATAGAATTTGATAAGAAATAAGAGGTACACACTTATCTGGAGGTGAGACGGTGGTCAGCTCGGAGAGTGTACTAGGTGAAAGTACAGCGAGAGAGCGAAACCGAAACCGTACAGGAGGTTCAGGAATACAAAATGGAAGTGGGTTTAAAGGTCAGGCTGAGTTCATTCAAACGAAAGTTCAAAGGTACATTGTACACTATAGGCCTATTCACAATTAGTTACCGTCGTCTTAGGGGGGATTTAATTACTGCCTTCAAAATAAGAAATGATCAGAATCACCCAAACAAAGGTGTTCTGCCATTGAGCAGGTATAGGCTCCCTCGTGGAAATCCTAGAAGGATAGCTCATCAGAGGGCAAGGACCCGGGTGCGCTCCCACTTCTTTTCCCTGCGGGTTTGCCGTCCCTGGAATTCCTTACCGGCAGATGTAGTTATGGCACCATCTGTGGACGCCTTTAAGCGAAGGCTGGACAACCACGCAGCGACACAAGGACTTCATCCAAATGGCCTATCCCCTTAAAATCGCATACAACATTCAAGGGTAGACAATTAAACTTATCTTTTTACTTCTTTACATTCTCTCCCATCATACTATCCTGACACCTTCAACTACACCTATTATTATTATCACTATTACCGGCATATATATACATACATATGTATATATATTATTCATATTATTCTTCAAATTTAATCAGCTGACTGTTGTCACGTTTTCTTATTCTTTTTCTGTCTTTTAGTCTGAATAACTTCACTTATTATATCTGTTATTATTATATCCTTTCTTTTGACGACGATACCGGAGGGCTAACTGGTGAAAGGATCAACTCCATTCAAAGTAGTAACAGTCTTAACACACCTCATAATACAAACCACACATAATTAATCCCTGCACTACTTCTTTTGGAGTCAACCAAAGCTACGTCAGTCGAGTGACGGGACGAGCTACGCAGAGGCTTACCGAAGATCGAGAACCTATACCTCACAATCAAGAGGCGAGCACAAAGAAATCAAATTGGTATATACTAGCTCGTAAAAACGATGTTGGATATTGGATCTGTTAGGCGTGTCTGGCAAATGTTCAAAAGCGCATATACGTCTTCAAGGTCAGGCCAAGGTTAACTATATCTGTTTGTGTTACACGTTGTTTTTGGTTGGTTTCAGTGTTTTCATTGTGTAAGGAGGGGTAATACGAACATTAAAAAACCTGTAAAGGCACATGTCTTCCAGTAAACTTGTGAATGAATAATACTTCATTTTAATTTTTTTGGAGAGACTTAGAGAAAAGGATTATAATCCTTCTATAAAATCATGATTTGAATGTTCAGAGGAAATGGTATGTAGATATTTGTGTGGATGTTTTCAGGCTACTACATACACAGATACTGCTTAAAATGAAACGACAGTATCTTAATACGGATTTTCAAACATGTCTTGTACGACAGTCCAGCTAGCATTGTCTTTGGACGCATTGCAGAATCTTTGGGCTGACTTCGGGTCATTGTCTCACGTTCTGCAATGCATCCGAAGAAAATGCTAGCTGGACTGTTGTACAAGACATGTTTGAAAATCCGTATTAAGATACTGTCGTTTCATTCTAAGCAGTATTTGTGTATGTAGTAGCCTGAATAAATAAAGTCCTTGAAGATATTACGCATGTATACCACTTAGATATGAATGTCAGCGAGGCTACATATCTTTAAATCCTAACTCCTTTCGGTGAAACCAGATAAGCGCGGAAATGTAATATTCGTTAAAATCTTGCACGAAATACTATTTCCTGACAGTGAGAAACTGCATTTCTTATTATATTATGTTTCACGTAATCAAAACCCAAAACTTCTAAGGTATCACTCTATACTAACTTCTTTAGGATCATGAATTCTCAGAAATTGATGTATGTGCTCACATAAATTTTGTACCTTCCCTACCGGCGCAGGTGGGTGGGTGGAAAACGCAAACTATCTTCGTCCACGAATACATGTAACTACAGTCTGTTACACAGCCTGTCTAAAGACGTCTCAATTGTTGTTGTCTTCGCTTGAAGAACCTCATTGCCTCCGAAAGACCATCGTAGGCGTGTAGTTTTTGGAGTTGACTTTCTACTGCTGCATACTAACGGTAATGCAACTTCACCCATTGATAACTATCATTGTATTAGGTACTACCACTTTAAGGTTAATTACTTTAAATCTCACAACTATCATGGAATATTTGGGAGCTTTAAAGCTCCGCTATTGTATCCCCTTTGTATATATATATATATATATATATATATATATATATATATAAAATCTATACCCTATATACTTGTGCCCAATCATATTTATTTATTGAACTTCATGTTTTAGGTAAAATCCTCCCATTGAATTCATTTGGATGAATGGAAAACAATCATTCAAAGCCCTGAATTAATAGTCAGTCTTTCATTAATACTATACTTCATAATGCCGTAACTTATTGACCAACTGCTGAGGACTGGAGCTAACGACTGTCTCTGTGCATAGTTGTTCTACCTAACCACGTCCTTTTTCCTTACTTTCAAATTGTTATACCCATATAAGACAGTCTGTTTCCTGTCTCATTCATTTACGTGGTTACTCTTTACCACCTGTTCTAGTATCCCTTACTGTTTTCATACTTAGATACCTGTAAAACAAACTTGTGCTAAAAAAAACAACATAATTCTCAATGTATAACCTGATAGTTTTATTTTATTTCTATCTACTCGGTGGTATACCATACGGTGTTCAATCCCGATTTCTTCCTCTTGTATTACGTAATAAAGGTGTATCGTTGACTTCATTAGGCCTGTATAAATTATTTCACATTCCTTGGTTATTTAAAAGTTTTTATGCTCCAGTAATCGATAGACATGTGAATAAAAGACTTTGGCTATTTCTCACTTTCAGTGGTCTTTTCTCCTGTACATTGATATTATTGTATGAAAGTGAAAACCTTATCAGTACTGATAATACCTTTATGTATTGTATACCTATTTGTCTTTTCCTGTATAACTTTTGGGCTGCATCACAAGATATTACTGTTGATTCATTGACAATATCAATTTTAAGGTTGGATCAATTGTCATTGGGGAATACTATACAAGTGGTTGGATATAAAGTTGGTGCAATTATCGGTGGCGGTTTCTTGTCTTGGTTATCTGGTTTTGTTAAAATAAGCTATCTTTTTATGTCAATTGCTTGTTTATATGCATCTGGAATGTGTTTTTGCTTGATTGGAAGATTTTGGAAGACACTCAATAGTGAAAGCAGCGGGTCGTGTAAAGGATTTATTGAAGTAAATGGTAAAGTTATTAGTAGTTTTGTTGAGTTATTGAGTAATACAAGCTTTCAGTGTTTCTGTTTTTCAGCACATACTCTACTCCGCCTTGTCTATGAGAATAGTTATTGGATAGTTGGAGGGAATCGGCAGGAAGCCCTGCGTGACCTAGGTTTCGTGCTTATTGGCACTCACCAGTCAGCAAGGCATATCTGCAATCTTGAAGGGGCTCACATCCCTTTTGATACTCGGATCTGTGTCACACAGTGCTGAAGTCAGAGACGTTGCCACTGAGCTATTCGGGTTCTCGGTTGTCCTCTTGCAAGATTCTGTTGAATACTTTCATTGGACTGAGGACAATTGGTGATATGCCTCAAAATCGTTCTCAGTGACTGGCGCAGATGCATCCATTCCTTGTGACTTATCCAATAAAACTATATTGTTCTTCCATATTACTGTTCTTTTTGCGTCATATCTCTGTTTTGAATCTCTTTTTGCTCTCTTTTCTTGCTTTGTGTGCTGAGTGAACTGTGACAACTCAAACTGCTGCACAACGGTGCAAAGTTCTACGTCGAAACCAATCAGTCGGTCACTTCCATTCGACACTAGTTATTATCTAGTATTATGCTCAGGGGAATCGTCTGTGACTGCAGCACTGGCTGACACGGGTTTAAATGTCAGGATGGACATACGCTGCTTCAAGATTGCAGATATCCTTTACTGACTGCTGAGTGCCAACAAACACAAAACCTAGGTGAGACAAGGCTTCCTGTCGACCGCCTCCAACCATCTAATGACAACAATTCAGAAGTCATCGTGATGTCGAGTCACCTGGTAGCATGGTGGCCACATTGCAGACGTAACTGGTAGAATTCAGTCTGCATCAAACAAAAGACTAGACACATTACACTAGTCACCGACTAGTGTCCAGTCAAACTATAAGACTAGTTCTGGTTATTTATTGGGAACGTTATTCTCTTATATAGAAATGATGGGGGTGACTTCTAGCTCAGATGGATGATACTGATACAGTTCTATGTTCTGTGAGTTGGTTTGGTTTACTGGCGAAACTTTCTTCGTCCCTCTTGACGAAACCTTCAGAATAAACTTCATAGTGAAATCTGACCTATGTAAGTGTGCTCCACATTTGCCACGAGTAAGGTATCTGAATAACTATCGGTAGCGTAGAGCACCACAAATCAGCTCTTGTTCTTTATAATATTATTTATGATGAACCTAAACTGGAGCCGCTGAATAAGTAGTGAGCATAAATTCGTAAAACTATATACCACTGATCGTTTTATACGACTCACATCGACGAGTAGTGCTTACCAGTCAGATCGAACTGATCCAAATACCGAACTACCGTTTTCCTCGTTTAGGGCCGAGCTTATTAGCGGTGTACCCTGTGTGACTCAGTTCACAGAAATGAATCAGTTCAGGCCACCCGATTTCTGGCTAGCCACTTGAGCGAACTATTATATTATTTCTGTTTCCTTTAGTTCCTAGAGGAACACACGTCTCCATTGCGTTCGGTTCTCGGACAACGTTTTCATCTTGCTCGACGTCAGCCAACATGCTTTCATCTCTTCTTCACATGACCTCCATATCACCCTCGCACTGACAACCAACTCGCCGCTTCCCGTTCGGGTTCCACTCGACCAACGGCCTGGCATGTGATGTCACTCATTGGATAGTTTTTTTTCTCAGAGTATGGCCACTCCACCTCCATTTCTTCCTGCATATTTGTTGCACAGTCGGTTCCTGCTAGGTTTGTTCGCTCCCAGAGATCCCTCCCTGTTGCTGATCTTTTCTGGCTGGCCATCTGATCTTCAGTAGTATTGAGCGAAGACAGCTGTTGAGGAAGGTCTGTAGTTTGTTCTAAGTGCTCTTCATGACTCGGTGCCAAGTCTCTGATCCATAAAGTAGCACTGACTTCACATTGGAGTTGAAAATCCGAATCTTATTTTCATTTTCATGCTGAGTAGTGCTGTTGATCTCCACACAGACTTGGTGAGATTAATGAAAGCTTGCCTTGCTTTCCCAATCCTCACTTTGATATTCTCATCAGTTCCGTCCTCCTGTAGTTGAAGCGATACTTCCCAGGTGGGTAGGTAGGTGAAGGAGGTTGCTTCTTTCAGATTTCTACCATTTATACTGATTGTCGTTTGTTGTTGTTACTGTTGGCCAGGAATCTTCATCGTCACCTTTGTTTTCTCTATGTTCACCTGAAGTCCTACCTTCACTGGTTACTTCTTCTGCCGACTTGTTGCTTTTCACTTGCATATCTTCCAGTTTGTGGGAAATCAGACATATGTCATCGGCGAAGTCGAGATCCTCCAAGTTCTTGTTTTGTGTGGGTTCATTTTATGCCTGTTTCCTCACTGTCCACTGTCTGTCACTTGAGCGAACTGATACCATCTTAAATCAGATTTGCAATTTGCAGTTTACACAGTTCGAGGAAGTGAACTCTTACCACAATTTTCTTTGGATATGAGCGGTGTACAACTACTCACCTCAGTCATTCTGCAGTTTTTTTTTAAATTTCACGCATTTATGCTTGCCTTCTAGACCACTGTTTATGGTATCAAGTGGATCCTGTATTAGGACTTCGATAATTTTGTTTTTCAAGTGTTTTTTTTTTTAGAGGAAACTGCGGTTAAATTTTACCTCCTCGAACTGTGTTAACTTCAACTTGCAAATTTGATTTCAGTAATGCCCAAGATGTGCGAATATTTTTGTTGATTATAGCTTGATTCCACACCGTATTTTTGATACAATTACGGAATTTTCAGCATGGGATATCAGAAGCCCAAATTTAGTAGGCTGACCATTTATATCAGGTGTGCGTTGGCAGGGGATCGAACTCCGGACCATGTGCATGGTCGGCGAGCGTCCCAACAGCTGTGCCACCAGCGCACAGCTCAAGTTGTCTAAATTCTTTTCCTGGAACAGGCCTTTTGTATTCCTGGCTACGAACCGTAATTATTGTGTTTTGAATGCTTATGATACTACCTAGTTGCCCAGACTGAAGTAGTTGGAGCGACATTCGAACCTGGGGCCCACTAGATGATATGTCGAGTGTTTAAGCCAATAGGTCACATTTTCACATTGGAATTAGGTGGCTAAATAAATTGATAATAAAAACTGTGGGCTCTTTGTTTTTAGATATTTGACTTTGAAACAATGAGTCACAGATCAAGTCTTGACAAACATAACGAGGTTTAGACTTTCAGTGTGTATCGATGGTCACTCCTGACACAAGAGATGCGCCTCATTGGAGTACAAATGATTGTTGAAGTAACGTTTTGTATTTTCACTTCAGTTAGCGAATCTATAAACATTCTTCATTGCTAGTAGTTTAGTAAGTGGTAATTAGCAGTGAAGTCCAGAGTGCATATTTTGTCCAATTCGGGACTCGTCTGGATTCACATTCATTTCCACTGAGACTCGGACCCAGGATCCATTGTTTCGATTCCCTAGGTGTTGTCCACTAGACCACCTGGGCAAAGACTGCCATCTCTTGTGCAACTGACATCAGTCCCAAATGAGATGAACTGCGCATTCTAGACTCGACTGACAGTCATCACCCACCAAGTTACTTCAAGTTATATCCTCAGACATCGTTGAAGCATCCATACTAGGAGCCGACATATCAGAAGCAGCAGCAACAGCGGAACATTTCAGTCTAATCGATCAGGGGCAAAAATTCAAAATTCAATTGAAAACAAACAAGTTCTTCACTGGTGTTGAATCTAATATCTGCCGATCAGGTTTTGGTCTGATCTTAGTGTGGCTTAACTGAAATACAACACTTGTCAATGAAGTCACTGAACACTAATTAACATGTATTCTATGACTGAATAATAGACATTGTATTTAGGATCGATGAAGGGTTCAAAGGTCAGTAAGAACTATGTGAATCTAATTGTCAATGGTTCAGAAAAGATGTTTGATAGCACAAATACACTTGCCTTTCTACATATAAGAATTGTTTCATTTTCTTCTGTCGGTACATCTTCCTGTGTGCGTCGGTGACACAGCGGTTAGGACGCTTGCCGACTATGCACATGGTCCGGGGTTCGATCCCTGGCCACCGACGCACTCCTTTACCTCTTCCTTAAAACGGTGTGTTATTGACTTAAGTAGTCAACGTTCAACTAGCAGATTACAATTGGGATAATTTCACTTGTCATTGTTCCTGATAGCCATATATGACTTACAATTGAGCACAGAAATCTTTAGGTTTTTTTTTTACAGCTATAACTTTCATCCTTTTAGACACTGATATCCCTCTCAAGACTATACACAGTACACTGCACAGCTATAAGTTAAGTGAATTAGTGAAACGTTGTCAGAGTGAATGAATTTCATATAATATTTTGAAGATAGCGTACTTTTGTTTCTTATGAGTAGATTCATAAGCACAGTGCTTTGTATTCAAAGTCTTCTTCAGCCAAGAACTTCTTATTTCTTGGTGTCCGTTTTGTACGATCTGTTTCAAGTTTGCTCACGGGTTGATATGAGTTCGAGAACCCTTGAAAACCAGCACTAGAGTACTGGACAGCTGTTTCGTCAGTCTAGTTTGACACTCATCGGCAGTACGCATCCACCGTCAAGGTTCGAACCCAGGACCTTCCCGTTACAAGGCAAACTGGTGGAGCATTTAGTCAATAGGACCAGACTCAATGATCAAATCCTGAATTCTAACTCCTACGAATTCGTGATTTTAACCTAACCAGTAGTCGGTGCTATCGGCGAGTATTTGGCCTCACTGCCGACTGGGTGAATCCCACTGGTCCAGGTAGGAGTTAGAATTCATAGGCCAATAAGTCGGTCTACGACGTTACCTTGTGACCGGAAGGTCCTTGGTTCGAGGCCTGGCGGTGGGTGCGTACTGTCGATGAGTCCCAAACTAGGACGAAACGGCTATCCAGTACTCCCTGGAGGTTTTCTTTGGTTCCCTAACTGATATCAATCAAATGTAGTCAATGCTGAAGGTGTTATCCAGCTTGGTGATGGAATATTCACTACGGAATACCAAAGCTCATAGTTTAGCAAGCAATTAGCCTTCTTGCCACAAGCCAGTGAACAGTTGAAACTTAATTCTCGTCAGTCAAATGCATCTCATTTTTAAGTGCTTAGTAGCAAGGAATTTCTGTTTCTATGATTATAGTTTTGACCTGATGACATCGACTACACAAATTTTTAGTGTCAGTAATAGTTTATTGAGAATGTCTGCCATTATCACACGAAGGACTTAGACTGTCATGATGTGGAAGGTGACAGTGGTCGCACTTAGCTTTCAGATACATCGTTATCATGAGTACCAGCACGCATAGGGTCTATTTTATTCATCAAGTTTGACCACGGAATGATATCAGTTAGAGAACTATTGGAAACCAGCCCTGGACAGCTGTTTCGTCCTAGTTTGGGACTCATCGGTGGTACGCACCCGCCGTCAGGGGTCGAACTCAGGACCTTTCGGACACAATGCAACCTCGTAGATAAATTATTATCCGAAAGGGTAAAAAGAGCTTCTGTATTATAAATATGTTCCTTTTGTTAATTTGCTTCTCTCATATCTGTTTACTTTTATTTTCAGCTGATGGGGAGAAATCAAAAGATCAAGAAGGGAAAGAAGAAAAAGAAGAAGAAGAGGATAAAGCATATTCATATACAAAAGCTTTTAGAATAGCTCTAGTGAATTCACGAAGTTCACGTTATCTTATAGGCCTTTTGCTTATTTATAAACTCGGGGAACAAGGCGCTATGAATATGCTACCGTTGATGCTTTTTGATCGTGGTTTCTCTTTGTCGAAAATTGGTTTTTGGACTGGTGTACTTGGTCAACTGGCATCGATTACTGGTTCTACATGTGGACATTATATTCAGAAGTACTTTAGGTAGGTCTATTCAACTTATACTATTGGAATATATTTTAAAGTGTGGTATAACAAACTTTGATACACTCACCATCTACCTTCCTTTCTGTGACGATCAGTTTTCATGGAGTTTCTAGTTGCTCCACATGACTGCAGACAAAACACTGGTGGAATGATGAATATCCGATATGTGTTAAGAATTATCGAAATTAGTTTTAAGTCTTATCACTGATTGATATGAGTCAAGGAATCATTGAAAGTAACCAAGGAATACTAGATAGCCGTTTTGTCCTTGTTTGAGATCCATCAGGAGTACGCACCCGTACTCTTAAGAAGATCAAACCTACTTGGTAATTTATATGATACTCACTAGTGACCAACTACAAGAGTAGGTTGCCTTGAGCTTTAGTGAGAAGTCGTAATCATTGGGATCCACGAAGTCAGGTGTCAGTACAAATACTCGCCGGGTGACATTAGCTGGTAGTAGCACGACAATCACGAATTGATAAAAGTTAGAATTCATGAGCTGTTAGATTCCGCCCTGGGAAACTTACGGAATCCTTCGAAGAAGTGAAGACGGAAGTAATACAAGGCTGGCTGCCTACTATCTCCAATGATTAATATCCTGATTGCGGTAGACTGGATAATGCAACAGACAGCGGGCAGCGAGGAAACAGGCATAAAATGGACACACATAAAACAAGAACTTGGAGGATCTGGACTTCGTTGATGATATTTGTCTGATTTCCCACAAAATGGAAGATATGCAAGTGAAAAGCAACAAGTCGGCAGAAGCATCAAAGATAGGATTTCACTTCAGGTGAACATACAGAAAACAGCGGTGACGATAAAGAATCCTGGCCAACAGCAACCGCAACAATAACAGACAACGATCAAAGATGGCTTAGCTTCCGATATCATCATTAAAAGAAGGATCTCACAGTCCCTGAAAAGGACATTCCCTGCCTTTACTAGTCGACCATTACTGTTCATTATCCTGAAGGACAAGATCCCGCTATTGACGAACTCTGTATGCGTTTATCAATGCACCTGCTCGTGCAGAGCTAAGTATATCGATTGTTCGACTCAATTTTTGTCCAAGGGGGTTGAATAACACTATACTACTTGGCTACAAAGAGGTGGAGGTGAAGCAATAGGAAGTGCGACCATTTAACAGAACTTGTGGTCAATAATGATCACCCTATCTCTACAGCCTCTAGATCACTACGTATTGGACTCACCTTTATTGATGAAAAAAAGGCCATCTCTGTATACAGAAAATAGTTCGTTCAACCCCTCCAACTTTGATGGTCTTAATCCCTCTAAGCTAAAGTATGATAATCACTAATCATATTTTGGCTCTACCTATTTTCCGTTTTGTTTATTCAATTTGTATACTCTTCGTTTATTGTGTCAATTGTTACTATTACTATTCTCACTTTGAACTGGCCCTGGTATTATTTCACTTGTTCCACTTGTCATTCTAAATCAATTCTTCTTTTTTACAACGTTAAATTTTTATGTTATCAAATTTCACGCAATGTTATGTAACGTTTTTATTTTATTCGATTTGTCTACTAATCCTATAATTGCACACCCCTTCCAAGTTCTATCCATCCTATGAATTATTCTATATATGACATTAATTTGTTTTGCCACTTTTCACTTAACTATGATTATAATCACAAATATTTTAATTGCACTTCATACCATTATTATTTGATGTATTCACACCTATGATTCGATTCCCTCACCGGACATAATTTCTTTAAAAAACCCATTTATATATGACTGTACAGGTTGATAATAAATTCGTCGTTGAAAAGAGTTTATTCGTTGAATCGTTTGTTTTGATTTTTATATGTTGCGGGATTTCATCATGAGCTGACATCAGTTAGGGAACGACTAGAAAACCTGAGAGTACTGGACAGCTGTTTCGTCCTGGATTGGGACTCTTCATCGTTAGGCACCCACCGGGGCTCGAGCCCAGGGCCTTCCGGTTCCAAGGCGAGCTCGTAGAGCAATAAGCCACTGGGAACTGATCCAATGACCAGCCCATGAATTCCAACTTCTGCCGATCCACGACATAGCGCGACCACTTCACAATGTCTTATTCGATGAGTAACTGTCCTCACCTTCAACCTGCTGTACTCTACTGGTCACGGTTTCCGACTAGAAACCCAGGTTAACTACCTGAATAGGGCCAGTCACTAGTGAGCATCAGATGTGTAACTGATGTCAGCTCATGATGAAGTCTTCCAACCAATCTAACAAAATCTTTACAAAATCAATACTTGAAAATTTTTTATCTGTTTCAATGGGAATTTTCCATGAAGTAGGATACTTTTCATATTAAAACTTGGCATTATTGTACTAGTAACAATAATAAACAATAATGCTCATAAGTCTAACTCACTTTTAGAAAAATGGGTCTCATCTGGTAAAACAAGAAGACTTTATACACGTTCGTCTAAGTATTAAAAATTCCACTATACCATATTTGGCGGCAAGTATTTTATGTGATGAAAATAGTGTTAGGCATGAACTAACTAACCTTCTTTGCACTACTAAATAAACCATTTTCCTCCACCCTTACAACATCAACCTTTACTGTTATTGTACTTATATTTATAATCTTCTCAAGTTTTTAATTTTTATTTGTTTATTTTTTCATAACTGTGAGCATCATTTAAGCTGTGTTATAACTGTTAATTTTGTATTTCCCCTCACCATGCTATATCAACAAAATGTTATATTCAATAATCTATAACATGCTGAAATTTCCAAACTGAATCGACAATACTGTTTGAAACAAACTCACTGTTATTAGTATTATTATTATATTTATTATTCTCAATTCGTACTTTGAATATTTTTGACTTTATATCGTAAATGTGGACAAATTCATCTGGTTAATTTTGTCTTAATTTTATTTATATTTTGAGTAAATCAGATGTAATCCCATTCTGTATTATAAGTACTGTTTTTGGGATAAAGTAGATTATTATTATTATTATGTTTTTTGATAAAAAGGTTTCCAAACTTCACTTATGTCTATATATACCCTCATATCACAAAATTTCAGATCAAAGTGACACAAAACCTCCATTCCAATCTCTACGCAATTTATCATTAAGCGTATCATTATCTTTTATTTAAAACATTATCTCTTTATTATTGTAGATCTCCGTTAATTTCCATTCTTTACCTTATGACGATTCGTTTATGTTTACAATGTCCTATATTATTGATTGCTTTCAATTCAGTCTGGACGAGTATGCCTAATGTGTCTTTCGGTAAGTCATCTTTCGTTTTCTTATTTACCAATGATCAGTATTTATCATTACTATTATTATTATTATTATTATTATTGTTATTACAAAAATCCATAATATGAGCAGTTTGTGCAGTGCAATATGACTCACTGGCTTAGTCAGCTAACTTTCTTATGCAATTAAGTTTGTTTACTAGCGATGGTTTATTGGGATTTAATCGATATCAAGTGAAGGCACAGATTGACCTTGTTTAGAGGACCATGGTAAATGACTGGGGATTACTGGACAGCTATTTCGTCCTAATATGGTACTTTTCAGCAGCACACACACCCATATTGTAACGGTAGAAGACGAAAGACTTCTTGGTAAAGGAATTTTTATTTGGAATTTGGTATCTTTATGTAGCTAAATTATGTTACCGTATTTTCAACGCATCATTTGCACAGATGTTCCGTGTTGTTCCTGCTACTTCTGGCTTTTAGATTGCATTTCTTTGTATTCTTTTCACATCTCTCATGTATCTCCTTGCTATGTGATGTTTTTATGCCGATGGACATCTCTTTATACACTACTGGTAAATCTTATTAGTAGCATACAACACAACACGACCCTACCGAGGATCTAACCCCCGGGGTCATCAGGTTATGGGGTGTGTGAGCCTGTTTCCCCTTCAACTACTGAGAAGGAATCCATTGATCTGTCAATTCTAACTTTTGCCAATTTACGATATATATACTGCAGCTGACAGCCAGAGTCATTAGGAAATTATGATAGAGAAAATTTGTAGCTCAGGTGGATGATTTTGCCGTGGTTGCGTTCTCTGAACTGGATAATTGATTTGCAAAGCTTTCATCGCCCTACTAGGCGACATCTTCAGCGCATACTTCAATTTACTGAAGTGAGCTTTTAGATTTCTCCACGAGTTTATTAATCATCTCTCCCGGTTACCTTGGACGTGATTGGTTGTTTTTGTGTGTTTTCACACCTTCTAGGCTACTTGTATTGGAACTGATTGTCTCTTTGATTTGAACTTTGACCCTTTGTATGTGAGATCTCCTTCTTATCGGTTGATAAATTTTGTCTATCTCGATGTGTCTATTGAATGACGATTCACTGGAATGCAAAGCTTCTAAAAATTCTCTAGCATTCTTGTTGTTTCCTCTGTCCAATATTTGAACGTTGTCCCAGTCAAATTGATGTCCATGGTTGTCTGTATGTAGTGATGTAAGGAAGTGGATATCATGTCTGTTGACGGCTAGCTTATGATCGTGGATACGAAGACGAAGAGGACGTCCACTTTGGCCAATGTAGTGTTTTTTCTCAGTTGTTACAATTTATTTTGTAGATGATGTTGGTTTCATTTTCTTTCGTTGTTAAGTCTTTTGGTTTCTATAGAGCCAGCTGAGTGAAGTGATTTTGTTGATTTTTGTGCGACGTCAATTCCTGAAGGTCTGAAGAGTCTTGCAGTAATTTCTGGTAGGGTGATTTTCTTTGTGCTTTCCTTGGGGGCTTTTGGTTTGATAGGTTGGCTTGGGGGTATATTTCTTTTGATGAAATTCCGTGGATATCAATAGACACATCGAGATAGATAAAATTTAACAACCGATAAGAAGGAGATCTCACACAGAAAGGGTCAAAGTTCAAGTCAAGGAAACAATCAGTTCCAATACAAGTAGCCCAGAGGGTGTGAAAACACACAAAACAACTAATCACGCCCAAGGTCATCAGGAGAGATGATTAATAAACTCGTGGAGAAATCTAAAAGCTCACTTCAGTAAATTGAAGTATGCGCTGAAGATGTCGCCTAGTAGGGGGATGAAAGCTTCGCAAATTAACTATCCAGCTCAAAGAACATAACCACATCAAAATCATTTGGAAGTGTTTGTCCCCACTCACCCACACACATACACACTCTCTGATTTTCAGTGATTCTGTAACGGAAGTCAGTTTGTGTTCTAACTTGAAGCTAATTTTAATGGTAAATTTAAGTTAACTGCACCTTTCTTTTATGATGAGGTTCAATCTTCTTTTCTCAACATTCGTTCAAAACACAATGATAAGTTGGTTGGACATTTAGTCCGGAAATAAAACAGTCAAAATTTACTTTGTGCTAACTTTGACTGATAGACAGTTTATCGATTTTAAACACCTTACTACCTTAGGAGCTTACAGAGAGTGAATGCATCTGTGCCACTGAGAACACTTTTGGGCTATATCACCAGTAGTCTCTCATCCCATCCTATGTCAGTAAAAATAGGATTGGTGAAATGTTTAAGTAACAGAGCACAAAAACTAAGAAAATCTAAGACAGGAAGTGATACATATAAGAGAAGCCTTGAAACTTAATAATTACTCTGATAGATAAATCAGGAAATATGTAGGGAAATGTAGAAATAAAATAAATAATGATAGTAGTGACAGTGATAATGATAATAATAATGATATTAATAATGGTAATATTAATGACGATATGCATGTCAAACATGGGCAAGATAATGACCTTAATTCCTGCTTTATTGAGAATCCAACATAGGGTTTCAGATGTTCCCTCCTTATATGGTAGTACTGTAGATGCCCCAGATTCTTTCTTATTTCTGTTACCAAGATTAGTTTCACCATTATTATTATGAATTAAAGTCTAAATATCTATTAGAATGCGTTGGCTTTTTATAAACACTAGTGTGCAGTTTACCCTCTTCTATTCGTTTTATTTTACAATCTAACATAGCTACTTCTCCTTGTTCATTTTCCGCTTCAAATGTGAATTTTATTCCCTCCACTAGTGAGTTTATGTGTGTCAAGAAGCTAGAGATATGTTCTGTTTTTAACACTGTGAAAGTGTCATCCACATATCTCCACCATATTTTTGGAGTAGGATTAAACGTATTAAGAGCCATATTTTCCCAGCTATCCATAAATATATCTGCTACGATAGGGGATATTGGTGATCCATCGCATTGATACACCTTCTGTTTGTCTATATATTTTGCCTTGGAATTTAAAGATAGTAGATGTGAGGCATAACTGAATTCCTAAAATAACTTCCAAAACGGGTAGCTTTGTTCTATGATCAAGTTCAGGATCAGAAGTTAGTTCTCTTTTAACTGCTTCTACACCCATACTGATTGGTATATTAGTGTAAAGACTAGTTATGTCAAAAAGGATTACTACCAATGAAATCAAGAGATGAGAAATAATGGAGTTATATAAACGAAGTCAGAAAGTTGTATGAGTACCTTGATATCATTATAAATGTCGTAACGACAGAAGAAAAGGGTCAGACAATAGATCATATATTGAGAAAATCAAGAAATATTTATAGATTTTTATGTACTTTATTATTAGCGTTATTGTTAGCAGAGAAGCAACGTCTTCTGATTGGTTATTTTCTGCCGAAGGTTATTCTCTACTACTTGTAACTGTTTCTCAGAAAGTAAGCCATATATCCGCAAATCGTATTTGCACACGCCAAGTTTTCTGTGATTGGTTGGTGAGTTCCTCAAGGTTAAGCTTTGATATTGTTTTATTTTCTCATGATCCAGATTCGGGACGTAAACACTGACGTAAATTATTGTCTACAATTTCAGCTGGCAGACAGCTCTCACCACATTAATATTCCTGTATAACAAACACTGAGAGACACTTTATCAGAACAAATTTTCTCCAAAATTGAATTGGTGAAGTGTCGTGTTTCCTCTTCAGTTGTGTCGTCTGTACAAACATCTGAACAAGCATTTAACTAACGCCTCTTTTTATATATTGCAGTGAGGTGTGACCTAATTGTATCTTCTTCCTTACGTCGTCACTTCGAAACGCTCTTTTTTCTTCTTTCTTTCAACTGTTTCAATTCAAGGGATAGGCTGTCTGTTTATGAATTGTATACTGTTTACCAGTGGTGCTATAACAACAATTATGTTCACAATAATGATGTATTGTACACGCAGTGAAACATCTACAGAGCATCAAGCCACGCACTATACAATATTGAGTACAGCAGAACTTTTAGGCAAATTACTCTTCAGTACAGTGGCTGCTTATGCAACAGATATTTGTGGATATACACTGACCAATCTGGGATTTTTTGGTCTGTCTATACTTCCAGTTGTATATATGAATAAGTATTATAGAAAATTTCAATTTTGTTCATGAAGTGTATATAACTTGGTAAGTAAAATCGTTTTGTTTTTGGTTAACATTTTTGTTGCATTTCGAATGTGGATAACACGACATTATTATTTTAAATTTCAGCTCTTAGATTTTCTCATGAAGCAGCATCATTTAGAGAGAGAGAAAGAGAGATCCCTAAAAACTGAGGGGTATTGGAAAACTATTTCGTCCTACTTTTGGACTCTTCGTCGGCGCGCATTCATGGGCCCGCCAAGAATCGAACCTAAGACCTTCAGGTTATGCGATGAAGCTCGCTGACCATTCAGTCACTCGTGAATCGGGATTTATTGACTCCTGAATTCTAAATTTGTTAACTCGTCATATAAAGTGCCACCCTTACCTTTGTTGCCTTCGGTGGGCATCCAATTTACCTTGATGGACATAACAGATATCCCAGTGGTCACGTATTCTCTCTACAGCTTCAAGATATTCATCTATTAGCCTTCAGTCAGCTGGATATTGATATTTAGATTACGGTATTGTAACCTGAAGGTTGGGGTTTTGACCCCTCATTAGGCCGAGGGTGCCCGCTGCCGAAGAGTCCTAAATAGAACGAAACGGTTCATCCAGTGCTCCATGGTCTTCAATGATCTGTCAAACTGATGTAAGTTCATGGGAAAATCTAGCAATTGAAATTAAATTAATCCAAATCCCCACGAATCCCATAATCCACCTATTATTATTAGCAGTAGTATTGTGGTGAGTGCTACTTATAATCAGATTTAAGTAGTATATCAGTAAATGAATTCAGAAAAGTAACGATGTGTTAGTATTATTATTAATGGTAGTATCAGTCCTATTATTGCTATTCATTCCTTATGTTAGTTATTCTCTCTCTCGTACCTTCACGTTCCGAGTGGAGTATTGGACTGTAAGCTTTGAAGCTTCACGCACAACCTAACCTTGTGTACCGGGCTTACTATCGGCTGGGAATCGAACTCCAGACAGCAAAATTAAAATCAGTCGGAATGAGATAAAAAATCTTTAAATGTTGTATGATTAACATCAACTTTATGCTCATTGTCTACAAGGTACTCTAAAAAACAGAGCCGTGAATAGATCTTGTTTGTCTCTTGCTTAACCATGCTTGGTTATGTTCGGAAATACGATGATAAAGTTGCATAATTGTATGTCTGATTTAGCTGATTCCTCAGCTGCAGTCAAACTGGTTGATACATACAAAGGAGGTGAATGAACTTGAACGATCACTTATCTCTTAATTACTCTTCACTTTGTTTGGAGGATTTCATCATGAGCTGACATCAGTTAGAGAACCATTGGAAGACCTGGGAGCACTGGACAGCTGTTTAATCCTAGTTTGGGACTCTTCACAGTACGCACCCATTGGGACTTGAACCCAGGACCTTCTGGTTACAAGGCTAGCGAGCTCGTAGACCATTAAGCCACTGGGACGCGACTCAATGGTCAGACCCTGAATTCTAATTTCTGTCAATTCATGATATAGCGCGTGTACCCTACTGGTCACGGGTTCCCACTAGAACCCCAGGTAACCACCTACCTGAATAGGACCAGTCGCTAGTGGGCATCAGATGTCTAACTGGTGTAAGCTCATGATGACATCCTACAACCAATCAAACAAAATCCCTACAAAAACCAATACTCATCACTTTTCCAAAATTATGCATCAATAATAATAATAATAATAATTTACTTTATTTCAAAAACAGTACTTATAATACAGAACGGAATTCTCAGTATTTGTCACAATATTGCATCTGATTTACTCAAAATGTATGTAGAATTAAAAATTAAAACAAAAATTAATCGGTGGAATTTGCCCACATTTACGACATAATTATTAGATATAATAATAATAATAATAATAGTAAATAATAACAGTGAGTTTGTTTCAAACGGTATTGTCGATTCATTTTGGAAACTTTAGCATGTTATAGATTATTGAATCTAATGTTCTGTTGATATAGTATGGTGAGGGGAAATACAGAGTTAATAGTCATAAAACAGCTTAAAATTATGTCCACACTTATGAAAAATAAAATAAACAAAACGAAAAAATTGAGAGGATTTTAATTGATATAAGAATAAAACTTGGGCACTGTGGTACAGTGTAATTCCATTATGGGTAAATTTTATTTTTATAGAGTCTCACAGTGTTATACAGTAAATATTACTGTATAACACTGTGAGACTATAAAAATAAAATTTACCCATAATGAGAGGATTATAAATATAAGAAATACAATAACAATAAAGTATGATGCTTTAAAAGTGAAGGAAGTGGTTTATTTAGTGGTGCTAAGAAGGTTAGTTAGTTCATTTCTGGTGCTATTTCCATCACGCAATCTACCTGTTGTAACTATTCCTAACCTTTAATTATTTGTATTAATTTTCTTTGTTAACTGCCTCCCTCCTTAACAGGTTGTTACTGCTTAATAATTATTTTTAACAAACATATTGATACTTGATTGGTAAAATATAGTGTATTGTACTGAAGATGCCATAAATGTATATTAGAGTAGATCCAGAGATGAAGATCTTATTGAAAGGTAAATATTTCTTCACTCAATCGTTTTGCCCCCTAGGAGTTCGAATTCATGGGTCATTGGATTGTATCCTAGTGGCTGAATGATGATCAACGAGATCAACTTGCAACTTGAAGGTTCTGAATTTCGATCTTCAGTAGGGTCATACGTGCGTACTGTTGAAGAGTCCCAAACAGGGATGAAACAGGTATCCAGGTTCAAAAATTTCCAGATTTATGTTATGTCAGGAGTCAAGACATATTGCTTTGGATTACTACTTTTTTTCATTTGGGATAAAAGCTTGGTAGAATATAGGCACCGCAAGGTGGTGTCCCACACAAAATACCATACTGATAGTATGCTCATCATTTAAAATCAAAAGAGCATTCATCGCCTCATAAACTTTCACAAATAGAAGGAAGAAGAAGAAAACATTGATTGACTACGCGATGTTACATAATAAAAATAAGGATTTTTTGTATTCCTTCACGTTCTCAGTGGAACATAGGGCTTCAATCTAGAGGCTGGGGGATCGAACCCCAGACCATGTGCATGGTCGGCGAGCATCTTAACCTCTGTGCCACCGACGCACAAATAAGGATTTAGAATAAGAAACTGGAATCAGCTGCCCTTTTCGCCAGTTTTACACTGATCATTATAATTTATTTGTTATTATATTTTTATTTTAGCTTGATTCCAGACAATATTTTTGGTACAACTATAGAATTTTCCGCATGTGATATCGGTAGTCCAAATTTAGCAGGTCGACCATTGATATAAGGTGTGCGTCGGCCAGGAATCGAACCCAGAACGACGTCCATGGTCGGCGAGCTTCCTAACTGCTGTGCCACCGACATACATTCGTAGATATGTTTTTTTTCTAGCGTACCTTGTAGACACTGAGCATAAATTTGACGCCAATCATACAACGTTTAAAGTTCAAGATTGGACGTAGTGGTACGTTCTCTTTGTGCACTTTCGGGAGACCATATAAACGGGGAATCACGGAACCTGAGGGTCGTATTTGCTCAAATATTTCACAGCTGATAATCGATTCGTTCTTCATCTTCTTCAGCATTTGTGTTATCTTTCCTCCAATTTGTTTCGTTTGATCTTTCTGGTTACCTTCTTTTGAAAATTTGTTTTCATCTGACATGACGGATAACATTTTATCGATATATTCTTGTAGATGAAGAACAAATCGATTATCAGCTGTGAATTATTTGAACAAATATGACCCTCAAGTTCGATGATTCCCCCGTTTATGTAGTTTGCCGAAAGTGCATATTTAAAGTTATTTATCGCATTCTGACTCATTTTAATTTTGCTGTCTAGAGTGCGATCCCCAGCCGTTAGTAAGCCTGGTAAATATAAGCTGTTATAATTCTTGTACACACAGTTGGATTTCTTTACTCTAATTGACTTTTTTGCATAACGTAGAGATTTCTATGATTTCATCTTGTTCCTAATATTTTCCTTTCTTTTTCAGGATTAATGGTAATATTGTTTCAAGTGAACAAGGTTTGTTATGCATTCAAGTTACCACAGAATAATCTGGAATAAAAAGGATGCATCTTCCATTTTTCAACAGTTATACCTCATAGCTTCTTTTTTTTCTGTATAACCCCTCTGTGACATTGGGCTGGGTGCGAGGGTATGGGAAGAATGAGCTGTAGAAAAGAAAAAGCCACGCAAACACGATTTCTTCTTGTATGATCTTACTGCCTGTTTTTCAGAAAAATTGAGTGTTTTATTACTTCTTTGTATATTATTTGTTGTCATTGTATAACTTCGTTCTTTCATAATGTGTGTTCGTGTGTGTTTTATTACATGCTGAATTTCTATCCGTAAAGGATATTTCATGAATTATGAAACAAGGGAATGTTTTCCACATAGAGTTCCACGTGTGTGTTAGTCTGTATTAGTAGAGGTGTAACTAATCGTGAGAAGATTTATTCCCCACTCTCCTTGGTATCTTTCAGCTTTGTGATTCAGTCAGTTATCATTTTCACACTAAATATCTAGTGGTCATCTTCATGTCAGGAAAAAGTTTGAGCATTGTGGAATACATCAAATAAAGTATAATTATATTTCAATGGTTTACAAGCAATGAAAAGGTTTTGTTTTTTTTGGTAATATTTAGGGCAAAATTACTACTGCCCGTGGTCATCTCACCAACTGTTGGAATTGTTCTGTTTTTATATTCACACATTAATGATTTGTACTCATATTTATATAGTCCTTACTTTTTTGTCCATTCACTTTTGTGCATTCAGAATTATATTGCGGGTGGCTGGCTGGCTGGACTCAACATAGAACTTGGCGCCGAAGTGCAGCAGTTCGAGTTGCCACGTTCCAAATACCACACAAAGGTAGACAAGAAAATGAGAGAAGAGAATCAATAGAATTTAGATAAGTATAAGAGTGAAACGGAATGAGTAATGGTAGAAAGGAATATGAAAGATTACAGAGACTGAATACATCTGCGTAAGCCATTGACAACGATTTTGAGCCATGTCACCTATTGTCTCCAGTCATTGATTCTTAGAGTCCCGAGGGCCCCAACCCGGAAGTCTGTATCTCCCTACCTGACTCAGTTTAACTGTCAAGGATTTCATGGATTGATTGATGCCATTTTTTTGTTTGGCCACCGCTTACTCTTTGCAGGTGGTTGACAGTTGTGCTGCTGAGTCACCCTTGTTACATGTATCTGGTGTGACCTTAATGAATATAGATTCTGTTATTAGCAGTCTCTCTTTCGATTTGTTCATATTAGTTTTTAGAATACAAAGATTGCTCCAATGAATATTGTGGTTTTTGTCCTATGCATGTGCAGCCATAGACGAATTTTTTCTAAATTGTTGTAAGTTTGTGTTCCTGTGGGATGACCTTCAATTCTCTGGTTTTACCTTCTTTTCTCTCTTTTTTATATTATCTCTGATAAATTCTTTTGGGTAGTTGTTATAGAGTTACATTTTGAATAAGACGTTTATTTCTTTTTGCTAGTCATTTGGTGTTGTTGTAAGTCTACGTGTTCTATCTGCAAGATCTTGTATTAATCCCCGTTTTACCGTGAGTGGATGAGCTGAGTAATAATCAGGAAATCTCTCAGAAGAAAAACAGGTCGGTAAATTCAGAGAATGACAAGAAAGAGGATGACAAAAATACCGATCAGAATGCCATACAAAAATGGTACATCAGAAGCAATTCGAAGAAACCTCAAAAATATTGGGATTCGCACCACATTTAAACCAACGAATCTAATTAAAAAACAAAATAAATCAACTGAAAGATCCCATAAAAATCATGGATAAAAACAATGTGATTTATAAAATATCCTTGTGCTGAGTGCCCAACTAAATATGTAGGTCAACATCCAGATCACTCCAAATAAGAGTGAATCAACATAAAAACGCCTAACTACATGTCTAGAAACAGGAACACGAGCTTACAACAATTTAGAAAACAAAATTCATCTATAACTGCACATGCATGGGACAAAAACCACAATATTCATTGGGACTATGTTTGTATTCTGAAATCTAATATGAACAAATCGAAAGGGAGACTGCTAATAACAGAATCTATATTCATTAAGGTCACACCAGATACATGTAACAAGGGTGACTCAGCAGCACAACTGTCGACCACCTGGAATATAATTCTGAATACACAAAAGTGAATGAACAAAAAAGTAAGGACTATATGTATGAGTACAAATCATAAATGTGTGAATTAAAAAAACAATTCCAGCAGTTGGTGTGATGATCACGGGCAGTAGTAACATGAACCTATACCTCACAATCAAGAAGCGAGCAAAAGGAAATCAAATTGGTTTATACTGGCTCGTAAAAACGATATTAGATATTGCACTTTGTTAGGCAGAGGTTTGCAGCTAGCAATAACCACTTAGGGGACAGTCGTACGATCAGTTTGTGTACCATTTAATGCGCTCTGCCAACCACAGTGGAGTCTTTCCTCAATCACCTGGGTGACTCAATGTCATAGGAAAGAAAGATTTTAAAAACGCGCGTATGCAAGCAATAAGATTCGAAGGCATCTGTGATTGAATTAATACAGGAGCGAATGGCAGCAGTATGTGAGCTGACGGAAAATGGCAAACTTTTGGTAGCCCGAATTTCAAGTAGGCAGGAAAACCGGATACATCCCAGCTAGGGATATTTATTTATTTCGATTTCTGTGAGATACTTAGTTTACTCAAACATTTTATCCTGCTTTTAACTCTGAGAATCTTCAAAATTTGAACCCCTTCATTAAAGGAGATCAAACAGACTCTTACCAAGAAGCTCTAAGTAGCGAATTAGGGTCTGGCCCGTCAACCTAAGTCCACGATTTCAGCTACCTCTAACACTGAGTGCGCTGGAACTTCACCTTTTAAATGCTTATGTCACAGTAATACACCTGTTCTTGAATATTCAAACCTTTCTTGTCAAATGATCATCAGGTTACCTATAGATAAAACATTAACGGTTAAGATACGTATCCTCAAACAGACAAGAAATCTCGTTTGTAAAACTACTACCCAACACAATAAGTGGAATAAAATGGACATAAACCGACAACATGAAAAAGGTATAACTCACCACAACATCACATGGACAGATGAACGCTCGTTGGGCACCATATATCCCTCACCAATTGCAACCCACCTTTCCTTAGATAATGTGATGAACTTATATCCATAATGTTGCTGAGCAGTTAGTATTCTCAACTCCTGTCGGAAAAGCTGAAATTCATAAACCTCCTTCACGCTAGGAAAATACCCACAAGCAGTATAAATCCATTAATTAATGCGTCCGAAGCTTATGTATTTACTCCCAAGAATGACATTTCAGATCAAATGAGATAAACATATCACTGATTTCAAAATAACACATCAATGAACTATAATTCAAGGATTCTGCACACAACGAAGTTATGTATGAAAATTGATTTCAAGCTTTATTTTTTTCCCAGGCACTTATAATCCATCCACCAAAGACCTGGTTTTTTTGTTAATGCAAAGACAATACTTCTATATTTCCTGTTGTATTGCACTCACTGACAATCTAGCAGATTTTTCCAACTGTGCACAGAAATGATTGTATATAAGTGAAAAGGCTGTTTTATACTACTGGGATTAACATTTATCAAGTGTACGTATAATCTCCAGCGAACATGTAAAGCATATCTTGCTGCTGCCTGTAAATTGTGATTGAATTATATGGTTCTATTTCTGTAACAATTTGATGATGCCTGTAAACTGGCGTCCGTCATGTACTGTACTATGAGAATAAATTTATTTATATAATCTATTGTTACGACTTCCTTTACCTAAGTAGACAGCTCACCATCAGCCCAACATACTGTAGTACAATATGGCGATAAATAGCAACTAAGCTGAGTTCGATGAAAATACATAAGCTTACCAGTCTGAAAATCTATCTAGTACACGAATAACAGTTTAACTAAAGCTAGCGTTCTGATTCGAGCGCGCGCTTTGAAAAAGGAGAGTGGCATTTTTACGTTGTGAAGTAAATTCTGCTTTTGTTGTTTAAACCACATCAGAAGCTTTTTAGTTCACTTTAACTGATTTATTTAGTTGAAGTGTTGTTCATATTATTCACAGTTTGTGTATACATTTGTGAATTTGGTTGGTATTAACCTCACTGTTTTCACGTACATATATTTGTGTCGTTGAAACAAATTAGCGCTATGGGTCCGAATAACAATTGTGGACCACCGGACTGCCACTTTCCGGTGGATGATGGTATGCATTGTGACAACTGCAGCCTATGGTTCCACAATTTTTGCACTGGTTTATCACCAGTAGCCTATAAAAGATGTTGCATGCCATCATCTCCGTGGCTGTGCAAATTTTGCAGCAACCCATTGGATGCCCTCATCCAAGAGGCAGTGGGACTCCTGATGTCCAAGAAATTGACTAAAAACGTAATCGAAAAGCCTGTACCAGAAATCCTAGACAAAAATGGCGGTTCAGAACATAATTTTAAAACCGAAGGTGTATCGCCACCTGGAGCTCAGAAGGCAAAAGAGGCACAGAGTGCCCAAATATCTGTTGCGACAAAGGAAATCTAAGAGGGCAAGTAGTGCCAGCATGGCAACACCAGCCTGTGAAATGGCCACCACAAAGCGCAGCGTGTCTAGTGCACGAATGGCCTCTAGTCGCGGCGAAAACAAAGTGGAAGAAACTGACTCCACTTGGTTGGTACCGACAGGTAATAAGCAACATAAACGAAGGAAAGAAACAGCAACCAAGTTCACCAACAAGGTCTCGACGGCTGTTAATACCAGCCAAACTCAGAAACACACGGACTCTAGTTACAGTGTTATCATCTGGAATTTGGAGGAATCTTAGAGCACAGATCCAGCTGCCCGACACGCAGATGATATGAAGGCGGTAAGCTCCATAATCCGGGAAATACTTCCCGAAAAAACAATTAGAGTTCACATAAGAAAAGCCATCAGGATCGGAAAACGAAACCCTGATGCTACGGAAACTTCTCGACGACTACTTAAGATAGTTTTAGGGAACGAAACAGAGAGAAGCACCATCCTCAACAACGCGTTCAAAATTAACGATAAAAGTTTAAAAATAAGGCCTGATTCGCCTTCAGAAGATAGAATCAAAAGAACAGAAGCCGTGGCTAAACTAAAGGCCAGGCTAGAAAAGGGTGAAAAGGACCTCAAGATATTGGGTTTTCGGGTAGTGAGGTCTCGGAAACCTATGCTGCCGAGACCTCTCTTCATAAGCCGGATGAACACTTGGGTGTCTCGGTGTGCTATACGAACGCGTGAAGTCTTAGGAATAAGCTCGCCGAATTAGGAGAATTATCTGAAAGACTACAACCTGATGTGATTGCTATCACTGAGACATGGTTGTTAGTGGGTGTAGACATAACTCCACTCATACCTGGGTACATCTGCATCCGAGCAGATAGAGTAAGTAGTCGGAAAGGTGGCGGGGTTGCTGTATACATCCGCGATGACATAGGGATTAGGTCAACGTTGTCAGAAGCTCATGACAGCGGCACCAGTGAGGCCGCAAGTTGCATTATTAATCTGAGCAAAGGCACTTTAACGATCGGAGTTATTTACAGAAGTCCTGCTAGCCAAGCTGATGACTTCGTTCTCAATCATTTGAGGGCGTGGGGTAGTAGAAATAGGTGTCTGGTTGTTGGCGACTTTAATGCTCCACACATTAACTGGGTGTAATTAAACTCCACTAGTTTGTATACCTGCTTCAATAGGGAGTTCACATTGACAGTGCTTGAATGTGCACTCGTGCAACATATGCATGCACCAACACGGTATCACCCGAAACATGATCCATCTACTCTAGACTTGGTATTAACACACCAGAAGGAGGACGTTGGTGACATTAGGTGCCTTCCGCCGCTTGGCAGCAGTGACCACATAGTCATTGCTTTTACGTTTAAGATTCATTCTCTCATACACAGGTCAAAATCTGCTCGTTCAAACATTTGGAAAGCGGATATACAAGGAATCCGGAGTGCAGCAACTGCAGTTGACTGGTCAGTAGATACAAGTCGGACTGTCGAGGAAGCTCGGGTAGGATTTAGAAATACACTAGATTGTGTCACTTCACCTTTTATACCTTGGTACACTCCTCGAAAGCTATCGCATAAGCCACCTTGGATTACTAGTGAAATAAGGAGGCTATTAAGACGGAGGAAGAACTTATGGGACCAAATTATTATGACAGGAAGGGAAAGTTTCCAGAAAGACTACCGCAAAATTCGAAATCTCTGTAAGTATGCGATTAACAAGAGTCGTATAGAATATGAGAAACGGCTTGTACTAGATAGTGTTCACTACCCAAAAATGCTCTTCTCGTATATTAAACGTAGGACTAAAACTAGCAATGGTATACCGTTACTCATAAGCATTAGTGGAGAAACGGCTGAGTCAGACGAAGGAAAGGCTGAAAACCCTCTGAATACTTCTGTGACGTCTTCTCGTCTGACAGTAACACCCAGGGATATGGTGAAGTTACTGCCATCGCCACTCAGATGCCCTCAGTTGTGGTAGAGCACACAAAAGTCCTCAAACTGCTGTCTAAACTGAAGCCAGGTAAATCACCTGGGCCTGATGGACTTCACCCTAAACTGTTAATTTCCTTGGCGGATATAATATATATTCCGCTTGCGGAGGTTTTCCAAATGTCACTGACCCAGGCTAAGCTACCCAGGGACTGGAAGGATGCCATTATAAGCCCTATATTCAAAGAGGAGGGCAGGAAATCGGTATCTAACTACAGGCCGGTAAGTCTAACATGCATTATAGCAAAGGTAATGGAAACTATTATAAGCGATCAGCTATTAGCTTATGCTGAAACACATAGCTTACTGGCAGTTGAACAGCATGAATTCCGACCAGGACGATCCTGCTTGACAAACTTACTATTAGCTAGGGAAGGTTGGGTCGAGGCCAGAGATAAAAACCTTCTGTTGGACGTGGTTTTTATTGATCTTAGCAAGGCATTGGACAAAGTATCCCACTTAGGTCTCCTTAGTAAACTTAAAGGTTTCGAACTAGACCAATGCCTATGTGAGTGGTTTAGGGATTACCTAATGGATAGAAGACAGAAGGTTAGAGTTGACGGTGTACTATCAGGGTGGAAAGCAGTATCCAGTGGAGTGCCTCAGGGAACTGTATTAGGCCCCTTGCTATTCCTATTATATGTTAATGAGCTACCGGGGATTCTTACTTCGTCTTCACTGCTATTTGCAGACGACATTAAGATATGGAAAACTGTAAATAATAACGAGGATAGGTCGGCCCTACAAACTGATCTAGATAAATTAGCTGAGTGGTCGAACCTGTGGAGTTTGGAAATGAATTCTAGGAAAAGAGCGGTAATGCACTTAGGTCAGAAGTCTTATACGTTGTACTCTTTAGGGGACACAGAACTACCTGACGTTAACGAACAGAAGGACCTAGGAATCATTGTCAGCAATGATTTGAAAACAACTGCAAATTGCAATGCAGCCGCAGCTAAGGCTTTTCGAATGTTGTGGGCACTCCGAAGGGCTTTCAAACGATTAGATGAGGGCATGTTCCAAATACTCTACGCAACATATGTCAGGCCTCATCTAGAATACTGCGTACAAGCGGTGGGTCCATGCTTCAAAAGGGAGGCATATATCCTGGAAGGAGTACAGAGAGTAGGAACGAAATTAGTTAGTGGTATCTCACACCTTCCTTATGATAAGAGGATGGAGGATTTAAATCTCTTTCCGTTATCATACCGAAGGAAGAGAGGCGACTTAATTTTAGCATACCGTATACTTAAGGGTGATTAAGGAACTGACCTTTCTAAGCTTTCCTCTCCTTCTAGGACACATTTCGGGGTCACCACAAAAAGGGGCTCAAACCGAGGACGATTAAAATACGTGCAGAATTTACATTCTCTCACAGAGTGGTCAACGACTGGAACTCCTTACCTGATTCAGTAGTAACAGCTCCATCGGTGAACGCTTTCAAAGAGAAGTTAGATCTCTGCAGAGATACATTTTGCAAGGATTGACACAGGCCACAAAAGCCTTCTATCCTTATCAACTGAATCTGATTGGGCCTTTTGGATGTACGTGCCAATATTTTGGAAACCGTAATTCTATGTAATCAATCCTTTTTAATGTAGTCCACCTATTCATCTCAAGATACAAAAAAGGGCTAGAGTAGTGATACATAAAATTACTAACAAGCAGGCTAACTAAGACGTTATGTCGAGGGCTGGACTTATCCGGCATGTTGGTTGAAATTCCGCTCGGCAAATTTGTTTTGTCAATAGTTTTTAATAAAATTTTGTTGTATGTTTTCTGGATTGATAGGAATTCTCATTTCCTGGCTAGTTATGTTGGTGTCTGCGTCATTTAATCTGACTGCGACACACTTAGCATATTGGTTGTAATGATTGGTGTTTCATGCTGAATGCGTCAAAACATCTCTACAATGAAGAAGATGGGGTAGTTGGTGGGTAATGTCATCTACACAAATAGTTTATTTCTTGTAGAAGCTGCAGCTTTCGACATAGTGTCATTCAATGAAGAATACGTCAAAATGTGGCTATTTTCGTGTGAAGAACAGTACTATTTTACAAAAGAATGCTATCAGTACATGGGAATCACCTATAAATGCCAACAGAACATAAAACCAATGTGTAAACGAACGGCTATGGAACTGCAATCCAACATAACCCACTAACATGGACGAAAATGACCTTTGAGCGTCTCACTCCATCAATGACCTTGAGCATGCGGGATAATTTCAGCCTATGTCGAGGTGTTTTTTTAAACCATCAGAAGTTTTAGCAACCTTGACTTGGCCATGAAACTGGCGCTTTCGTCAACCCTAGTCACATGGCTACTAAATTGAGGTACGTATTAGAGACTTTTTAAGTTATTTTTAAAGGTTTTCTCTGGCTGATAAATTTCAACCTTGTTTCAATTCACAATATCCGATTTATGTAAGGACTATTTTGCAGTTTTTATTCAGTCCTATAGCATACAGAATCAGGACAAATATATTGCGGTCGAGTTGCTGATGATTCTCTGTGCATTAACATTCTAGATGCAGATTCATTCACTTTGATTGACAAAATTCAGGTATAATTCGTTGTATTTTAGTTTACTTGTTAGGATGAAGAGTGCATAACGTCCTTTGTTGTTGATGAAGCTGACTCGGTAAGCGTCTCATTACGGTGATAGTTATTCCCCAGACGGTGTTCATTGCTACAAAAAACTTGCTACTTAAACGCATTGATGGACAAACTCGAAGACAAACAAAAGCATGGATGGTGAGCCGATTATCCTTAGATTTTAGATTGTATATTAGTCTTGTCATCAAAGAATTATCCAAAAAATGGCTTTGAATAAAGGTTCAACACGATTAGCTACAGGATCGGGTGATACGGTGGTTCGGTTATGGCATATCGGTCCGAAGGAGGGTTTTTCAGCAAGCTGTCGATTGCACCAAGGCATGATAACGTAAGTTTATTATTCTGATTAAACACTTTACGCCCAAGTTTTTCCCGTATTAATATTAGATTTAGGTAACACTTTTTAACATTATATTCTACGAACTAAAGTTTGTTCTGAGTTTCGATATCTGATTCGATTTTTCTGATTCAACAGATTATAATGGCGTGCTTAAAATCATTAAATATCCAGGTCACCTTTAGTTATACTTGTTACATCAGCTTAAATATATATATATATCTCGTATGTTGATTCTTGGATAAAAACGATGGATATTTTAGTGACTAATATCTTCAAATTCACTGTCGAACCGATACGTCATCATTGAATTTAGTGTTCAATATCTGAGAACTACTTTCGCTATTATTGAAATTTGAGAAACGCCTATTTATCTTCACACGTGTACAACGCACTCAAATTTCGCCTAAATCTAGGCCAGCGTAAATGCAGGACTGCATCCGTTAATATTCTCCACTTGTTGATATTTCCTGTCATCTTTGCTGTCGGAACAAAGCTGTGTAGTATTAGGAAACAGTTTATCTCATATATTTAACTCACAAGTCTTTATCAGTACCTGGCTCTAAAATGCAGTTTATACAAATTGATAGTAAATGTAAAATCCATCAGAACGTTTCTAAACGGAATACATAATTTGAAACTGTTAGCATATGCTTTTTCACTGGTGAAGGATAGGGGCAGTTCAGACTACAGCAATCAATACAAACCTCAAATCTCAATTAATATAAAATTCATTATATTACTGGACGGCTTGTCCTTTGTTTAACATAATTAATTCTGCAACTTCATCGGAGTTTTAATGTCTACAAAGTAAGTTAAACAGCCTCAAAGCCAACAACTCTTATTGGGACTATTCTAGATGTCAGCTTATGCAGACTCGTTTGTTGTTAGATAGAAACCGTGGACGATTTGTTGCAGACAGTTAACTCTATCTGTTCAAATCTCTTCTGACCTCAAATCACGTAGTTAAGATGTAATTATATTTTGACTAAGGTACTGTTTTCATAAGTTCCTGATGTCTGCTTCAGTAATGCTTTAAACTCCCATTTATTCAATATCCGAGTATTCTTCGAGATATTTTCTATTTCTCAAGTATAATCGATGCTGTCCGTTAAGCTTATCTTGCATGACACATATGGTAGTCGGTTTGAACTGTGCATAAGGTTAGCATTCTTGACTGGTTTCAAGTGATATAACACAGAATTGACGTGAACACTTGGACCATCACTACCTATTTTCATATCCGAAAATTTTACTATCGTATATTGTTTTCGTTTCTTTTCGTCATTATTTTATGGAATCATCGTGTAAGTAATTCTGAGGTGTGCTTTGACACCGTGGACGTCACCATTCACTTAGTATTATCATTTTGAAACACCAGCTGTGGTGGGTTAAACAAGTGCTACAAATGTCATCTCAGAGATTCCCATACCGATTGCTGTTTGCTAGCGGAGATGTGGTCAACCCATGATATGGAATCGTAGAATGACGGATATTTGTGTTAGGTTAGTGTTTGTCTGTGTATCCCTAGGCGTAGTGCGAAAGATAATTCAAATCTGTGACTCGAAACATTCTCATATATGACCAAGAAGCGTAATGAATGCTGGTTGGTTTTGACAAGTACATTTGTTCACTTTCTGGATGACCTCCCTCAGTCTATTTCATAGCTGTTTTCTGTATATGCTATTGTTGTGTTATTTTTCTGTGGCCCACCTCTTTCTGCTCATAATGTACCAATTTTGTGTTTTCTACGATAACTAAGACGTTTGTCACAATTCAGCCTCCCTCTTTTTTTCAATTAATGGTGCTTTTGTGTCGGAATTCATTAAGGGAACTAATTGTATGTAATTGTTTTCTCTCCACCCGCTTATGTTTCTGTTCACTTCATTTCGAAATGTGACAACATGAAATAAACGAAGAAAAAAAGGGGTGTTACTCGGTAATCACTTCATGGATCACTACTCATTGTGATTAATACTTGGTTTCTTAGGTCTTGGTATGTGGGATCATGTTTGAACTGGTGGTCACGTAAGAGGAAGTTGACTCTGTTAACCAACAAGTCTCAACTTTACAAGCTGAACAAATGAGAATTGTTTGCTTGCACTGGTCCACTGAACAGTGCCTTTTGAATGTAGTAGATGCTGTGCTAGGAATAAATGGATCAACATCTTAAATGGTTGTTTAATCTCTGTAAAATTTCAGTCGATTTCGTGTTATCTAGAAGAACAGCGAAAGCTTAACAGTTAAATCAACCAACTCAGAGAAAAAAATCAAATACAAATCCACATATATATTTTCTGATATGGTGTTATTTTTCATTATATGAATATCTACTATTTTTATTATTATTACTGTTCCCTTGGGTTCCTAGTGGAACAAGTGTCTTCAACGTCACATCTCAACTTTGTCTAATTCTCAGCCGTCCTCTTTGGCTGCCCCACGACTTTCTATATTCTCATCTCCTCTCACGATCTCCTCCATGTCACCCTCTGAACGATGCCCCACTTGTCGTTTCCCATTCGGGTTCTGCTTGCAGTGTTGCCTGGTTTGTGATTTCATTCGGTGATCTCTTCAGTGTGTGCCCAGTCTATCTTCACTTTCTTCAATATGTTTGTCCTTGGTTGTTTGATCCCAGAGTTTCTTGTTGCTAATTCTTTCTGGCTGACCATTTCACCTTCAATATGGAGTGAATGTAGCTGTTGATGAAAGTTTCCAGTAGCCTGTTGGAAGCGCTTTCGGTGACTTGCGCGCGTTAAGCTTGTGACGCATACGGAAGAAATGACTTAACATTTGTGTTGAAAATCCGAATCTTGTTGTTTATGCTAAGTGAAGACGATTTCGCAGTCTGATTCTGGCTTTTACATCATCCCTTCCGCCTGTAGTTGAAACAATGCCTCCTCGATAAGTGAAGGGGGTAACCTCTGTTAAATCTGTCCTGTCGAAGGTGATTGGTGCTGGTTGTTGTTGCTGTTGATTGGTTATCTTCATCATCACCTCCGTCTTCTCAATGTTCACCTGGAGTCCTGTCTTCTCTGCCAGCGTGTTCTGCCGGTTTGTAGGTTTTTGCCTGTTACTCCTCGAGTTTCTGTAACATTAGACATATATCATCTGCGGAGTCCAGATCTTCGAGAGTCTTCTTATCGGTGGTCCCCAGTGTACTTTTATCTCCTCGCTCCCCATAGTCTGACACATGATCCAGTCCGTCACAATTAAAAATACCTTCGGTGATAACAGGCAGCCTTGTCCTTCACCTGTATGCACTTCGAATGCCTTGCAGAGTTTTCCGTTGTAAACTAGTAGTATTGACGACTTCGCTTACATTCGAGCATACCTCATTGCATAAATTAAATGTTTTCACTAAGATTTTAACAAGCTATCCTGCATACTTTTCCTTATTTAACAGGCTACTGAAGTTTCATCCATCACTGCCATACCTTTTCTCATCATCGATTGGTGATCATTTTGTGGCTGTCTGGAATACTGAGACAGGGAAGCATACATCCTCCCTAGAAGGTCATCAAAGCAATGTTACAAGTTTAGATTTCAATGATGTGAAAAACGAGGTGGTCACGTAAGGCGTAAAATTTTGCTGAGTTTTTTTTGGTTTCAGTTGTGGACGAGATAAAGTCATCATTGTTTGGTCAACTACAAACTTTACTAAACAAAAAGTAATACCGGCTTTTGAAGTGAGTCTCACTTTTACTTCCCATACTTGAACAAGTTGAATTTATATGCCAGAAATGGTGACCGTCGTTTTCTTTTTGGATTTAATTGTTTTTGTAAACCGTTTCTTGGCGTTCTAATTTGAAAGGAGTTTTCATTTTGAAAGGTGTTGTGTATCTTTAGAACTCCACGATGCTGTCAACTAAACAGGAGGAGTAGTGAATAGACGTCATTTGTTGTGTGAAACTTACCCAGTGCAGGGATCATGGTGGTTAGAAATGCTGTGACTCTGGCTGAAGACTCACTACTGTATTTCCGTGAGTTGTGAACCTCGCACTCAGGCGTGTAGTTTTTATCAATTGGGAGGCTTCATAGTCCTTCATTTAACTAAAAGTGACAGAACTCCAGAGGTTTTGAGTTGCTGAGGTAAATCTGTTCGATAAAGAAGACGGAATGGGAGGACAACAATACGATTTTTTGGTGTGAGGTGAAATGAAAGCATGGGCGTTAAGTAGACATAAAAAGTCCACAATTGCTAAACTGTCAAATGTGTATTTATTGGCTACCCATTTAGAAAATCTGATAAGTTATGGCATGCCGTTTTCATAATAATGTAATCGAATGTTTACTCTCATTTATTGCAAGAGTAACCTTGAACACTATAATTAATTAACATCAAAGCTGTATATAGGATCAACATCTGGAGGGCATTTCAAAGTTAACTCATAGGCTTCAAAAACTAATCAAGTAATAAAAATGGAAACAGCAACACTCCTCAAGGCATCGTCGGTGGTGGCATAGCGGCACATGGTCCGGGGTTCCATCCCTGACCGACGCACTCCTTTACCTCCCTAATCCAGAAATAAAGCTGGTAAAGAGGAAAGGTTGGGCATGAGGCTAGCAACACTCCATCCTGTAAAGCTAAACACTGCTACAGAAACTTCAAGCCTCTAGCTTGAAGGTTCCCTATGTTCCACTGGGAATGTGAGGGGATTAATGATAATAATAACACTCCTCAAGAATGTTTTCGATTGCTACTTTTTAGTTCGGCAAAAATTAACCGAAAAATATAAATGAAGTACCAAATGAAAAGCTGAGGTTGAGTTTACTTGCGTCTTCCTCTTGAAATACTTTCATCTAGCTATGCATTCATAGCCGCCCCTCTGCCACGCAAATCATGTTCACTGCTTCCACTCCTTCGGGTTGTGCTTCTCACAAAAGTGGAAGGGTGAATACTGACGTCTGGTATTTACAGCCAGACTGGTCTAGATGCTGGAATTCCCTGGTTTCAAGCCCATGATGTACATAGGCTCTAGAATCCGGAAGAATCGAATGGTCTATGCACCTCTTTTGGTCATCGGCAAACATGGGAATGTAGCTACTGATGCCACTCCACTGCCTTGTGGATCATCATACTTCAAGTCACAGGCTTGGCGGTGAGGGGGAGTATTCTCTCAGGATAACTACCTGCTTCGGTCTGGGCGTTCGAGTAATATCCCAGCCCTTGCATACATCATGAAGTTTTGTGTGGCGTATCTTTTGATGCTCAAAATGCACTAGATTTGTGTTCTGATAAATAAATAAAATCCAGGTTTTATATTTGTCCTGTTCCTTCAAAGAACCAGAAGTCTTCTTCAGGTATATACTGAATAACTTCTCAATGTACTAATTTATAAATTCAGGCTTTAAATTGTCTTCCAATCATTTTTATTAAATAGTATGGATTAAATATGCTCATATACTTACTTGAATAGTGTTCACAGCACAACTTACAAAGTAGGATCAAAGTGACTGGATGATTTTAACGGGAGAAGACAGAAGACTTTGTAACGGAAAAACATACCCTATTCTTACATTTTTAGCCACATTTAAGGTCGGCCAGGTCCTGATTGGTCGTGAAATTGTCGAAGGTTAGACCCTGAGACGAAAATTTGTCCAATGGGATTATTCCCTGACCACAACGTAAACCAAATAAACACCTCTAGTTCTGCAGTTTTTGACTTAAAATGTTGTTTTCAATTTTGGCTGCTTCCTATCGAACTGCGTCTATATTACACTACTGATAAATTTTGTCAGTAGCACACAAAACATGATCACTTTCTGAATTTGGTTATTTATTTCTGATGGTGTGTTCAACTATAGCTTAAGATGTTAAACAATATATATAACCAAGTCCTTATTTATTTGTAATTATAATTTTAAGGGAATATACGTATTCCCTTGTTAGATGTATTGACATGTATTGTACTCTAATTCTTGTGTTTTTTTTTCTTTTTGTAGAGTTTAGAAGCGTGTGTTTTCTTGCCTATTGGTGCTTTGGAAAATCACTTAGGTCCTAATTTCACTAAAAGCAAAACATCTCTCTTGTTAACTGGTGGCCAGTGGGGTTGTCTACGGGTTTGGGATACTGATGCCGGACGTTGTGTTTTAGAAATTAAAGGTCCATTAGATCGAACTCCACAATCAGATTCTACGCATGCTCCACTGGAACGTCATGCTATTGATTATGGACTTCATTCTATCAGTGATTTGAGCATTTTTAAGGCTAAAAACACAGAGGAGGAGGAGGGCAATTCAAGTGAACATGCTGACATGTTGCAGAGACTACTGCTTGTTCGTCAAAGCAATCATGTTGAATTTTATAATCCTATGGTGGCTAAATTAACAGCTGAGGTATGATTAATATTCATTGATAATTTTGGTTTTGTATTTTTGAAAAAAAATCAAGTAAACAGACAGATTACAGTGGGGACGATAACTGTTACCTTGACGCGGAGGTTAGTCTTGCATAGTGCAGTGACGCAACAAGCTACACTGGCTAAGATTTATATTCCTATAGGTTCTACCGTCCCAGAAAATTTGTTTGGATAGCGGTTAGGCTGAAAGCAGTTACTACGAGGTACATGGGCTCTAGAATTCAGACCTGGAAACCGTTATGCTGCTGCTGCTGTGCTTTGAGGATGAGATTCCAAGTCAAAGGCTCGGTGGTGAAGGGGATGGTAGTCCCTTAAGACAACCAGTTGCTTCTCTCTGGGCATCTGGGCAGTATCCCCGCTTTCACACTAACATTACCTGCCAATTTAAAGTGTTGTGACCCTCGTAACCGTCGTTGGTTCGACGGTGGAATACTCACCAACCACACACACACAGGGAACCCAATTACCAAGGAAGAAAGACTATGAAAATAACCAACCAACAACAGCAGCAACAACATCCAGCGCCAATCACCATCAACGGGAGGGATTTGAAAGAGGTTAATTCATTCACTTATCTAGGGAGCATTGTCTCAACCACAGGAGGAACGGACGACGAGGATGTCAAATTGAGAATCGGGAAGGCGAGAAATACATTCATCAACCTGAAACCAATCTGGAAATCTTCGTCACTCAACTCAGCATCAACAACAAAATTCGGATTTTCAATACAAACGTCGAGTCAGTCAGTTCTTCTATACGGATCAGAAACTTGGCGGGTCACAAAGAATATTTCCAACAGCCTGTTGCAGACCTTTATCAACAACTGTCTTCGCTCTATACTACTGAAGATCAGATGGCCGGAAAGAATGACCAACAAGAAACTATGGGAACAAACAAAACAAGAACCGATCGCCCAACAAATATGCAGGAGAAAGTGGAGATGGATTGGACAGTGGCTGAGGAGACCGCTGGGTGACATCGCGCGTCAGGCCAACGCTCGAGTGGAACCCGAAAGGGAAGCGGCGAGTGGGACGTGCAAGGGTGACATGGAGGAGATCGTGTGAAGTGGAGTTGAAACAGTATGGATTAACATGGACGCAGGTGAAAAGCAGAGCAGAAGACAGAAGCAAATGGAGGCGTGTAGTTGAAGCCCTATGTTCTACTAGGAACCCAAGGGAGCAATAATAATAATACACACACGCACATCTTTTTATTTAGCCACTGTGGTAGGTGTTCCCGAGCGAGCACAAAAAACCAAGTTCCTAGAACAACGGCCGATATTACTCGTTCCACAAACGCAGTTGAATTTGATGGATACAGGAAAAGGTAGCCAGTCTAGGTACTTCATCTTTCAGTTTCGGAATCACAGGCGGGTGTGTAGGAAATATAACTTGTAGTTTGCCAGCATTACAAGTTCTTTTAATAGATTTTCTTAACTTGTTGGTGATTATTTCACTAGATACATCGTCTTTGCAAAAATAATTATGCGATTCTAATGTCAGTGACTCAATGTTACTTCTAAAACAAACATACAATAATGTTGTCAATGATAATCTGTCTGTCTGTTTTCGACATAGAACTTTACATCGATGTGCAGCAGTTCAAGTTGCCACACTCCCCACATGTAGCACACAAAGCAAGAGAAGAAAGTAGAAAAGAAATGCAAAATAGAGGCAGTGGACAGGGATATGAGACAAAAGGAATAGTAATAACAAAGAACAATATAGTTTCATTGGAAATTATAAGTCACAAGGAGTGAATGGATCTGCGCCAGCCATTGAGAACGATTTCCAGCCTTCATTGGTGTTTACCGTCCTGCGGACCCCAACTAGTCAGGAAGTCAGTCTACACCTTCCTACGTTACTGGCTTAAACTAACTGTTGTGGATTTCATTGACTGATGAGTTCATGTTTTGGTTTGACCACCACTCACTAGCTCTTTTCCAGCCTGACCCTATATCAGCTAACATTACCCATAGTCGAGGAAGGCGATGGCTAGGCATACGTGCGTAACACATGTCCTAACCATCTCAGTCGATGTAGCTTCACAGCCTAGTCTATTGGTTTCCCTTCCCACCTACCTAGCACTCGACGCCTATCCTCAATAATGCACACCCTATTATACCACTTAGCACACACAGGAGATAGAACTCAGACACCTATGATCAAAGACAGCTAACCTTTTAATGTCTTCCACTTTCAATGGTCATGTCCCATTCACAGCCATAAAGGAAGACGGAGCGGATTGCTGAGCGGTGCACACGCCCTTTAGTCAATAGCCAGACGGATATCATGTCTACTAAGCCAGTGACGGCGTAAAGTGGCATATGCGAAACTAGCCCTCTGTATGTATGCTGAGATTTAGTCAGCGTTGGCTGATGCAACTTCAATGGAATAAATCCTTCATTATTATGGATGGATATACAATTGTAGAACGTGCTGATGACGGGCGGGGGTCGGGTGGTTATCGAAAAGTATTAACATGTTCAATTCATTTGTTTTTTTTTTGTAATGTTCCCCCCAGTTTCTTGGCGATATTGGACAAGTTGATCAATTGTGTATCGCCGGTAGAAATCACAATTACCTTATTCTTGCTGATGCATCACCACATATGAAAATTTTTATGAATCCACATGGATTAAATTCCCTAAACAAGGATAGCAGTAGTAGTAGTAGTAGTAATCATTACAACAACAAGAAAGGTGGTGGTTCATGGAAGTGTCATCTTATCCCAGGTGGTCATTCTGATGTCATTATGGATATAACAGTCTCTGAATGTGGTGAATGGATTGCAAGCGGTTCAAAGGATCAGTCTATTTGTTTATGGCGTTTAAAAGAACCAGCACCGTCAACTCAATCTGCTAAAGTATTCACCGTTAAAGTGGATCTTATCACACAAATTCAAAAAGCCCATGCTGCTCATATCACTTCAGTTTGTTTTGACAAGTAAGCTCGTTGAAGTGTTAAATTATATTCTTTAATACGTGATTAATAGTAGTGACATTGGTTAGAGAACCTAAGAGTACTGGACAACTGTCTGGTCAGGGTTCGAACCAGGATTTGAAGGCGAGCTCATGAACCATTCAGCCACTGGGAGCCTACCCAGTAGGGTGCCCAGCCCATGAATTCCAACTTCTTCCAATTCGCGCACGATATACCGCGACCACCTACTGTACCCCACTACTGGTCATGGCTTCTCACTAGAATCCAGGTAAATATCTACTTGAAGAGTCTCAAACCAGGACGAAACAAGTGTCCAGTACTTCAAGGTTTTCCAATGGTTCTCTAACCGATATCAGCTCATGATGAAATCCTGTAACCCCATGAAATCCCTTCAAATGAACACTTGAATTTGAAAATTGTGTTGTGTCAAGTAATTGTTTTCTAGAGATCTGTGATGCAGATCCGATTCTAGGCTGAAGTCTTTGAAGCAAAGACTGGAGTAAGACAAAAGTGCCTACTATTGTAACAGCATAAGGGAAGACACGGAAGTCGAGGTATATTTTCAAATCATCAAACCGTTATTCATATATATAGTTTATTTTGATGTGGTTGTGTTCTCTGAGCTGGATAGTTAATTTGCGAAGCTTTCATCACCCTACTAGGTGACATCTTCAACGCATACTTCAATTTGAAGTGAGCTTTTAGATTTCTCCACGAGTTTATTAATCATCTCTCCTGGCGACCTTGGACGTGATTGGTTGTTTTTGTGTGTTTCCACACCTTCTAGGTTACTTGTATTGTCACTCATTGTTTCTTTGACTTGAACTTTGATCCTTTGTGTGTGACCTTTCTTTCTTATCGGTTGATAAATTTTGTCAATCTTGATGTGTCTATTGATTGATGATTCACTGGAATGCCAAGCTTCTAAAAATTCTCTAGCATTCTTGTTGTTTCCTCTGTCTAATATTTGAACATTGTCCCAGTCGAATTGATGTCCGTGGTTGTCTGTATGTAGTGATATGAGGGAGTGGATATCATGTCTTTTGACAGCTAGCTTATGTTTGTGGATACGAAGACGAAGAGGACGTCGACTTTGGCCGATGCAGTGTTTTTCGCAGTTGATACAATCTATTTTGTAGATGATGTTGGTTTTATCTTCCTTCGCTGTTGAGTCTTTTGGTTGACATAGAATTGAGTGAAGTGACTTTGTTGGTTTGTGTACGACGGCAATTCCTAAAGGTTTGAAGAGTCTTGTAGTGATTTCTGAGATATCCTTTATATATGGTAAGGCGATTTTCTTTGTGTTTTCCTTGGGGGCTTTTGGTTTGATAGGTTGGTTTGAGGGTATATGTCTTTTAATGAAATTCCATGGATATCCATTCTTTTGGAAGACGTCCATGAGATATTTTTCTTCAATTTTCCTTGAGGTGGGAGTACTGCAATGAGTCCTGGCTCTCTTGAATAGTGTTTGTGTGCAATTCCTTTTGTGTGCTATTGGATTGTTGCTGTTGTAATTCAGGATTTGTTCTGTGTGAGTTGATTTTCTAAAGACGAGTTTCTGATTTCCCTGTCGTTGTTCGCTTGACTGAGACGTCCAAAAATGGGATTTGGTTTTCTGATTCTTCTTCTCTTGTGAATTTGATGTCGTTGAAGACGTTGTTTATCAGGCTGTGAGTTTTATCTAACTCGTTTCTTTTGATTATTACAAATGTGTCATCTACGTGACGTATCCAAATCTTGGGTGTGATCTTTGGTAAAATTATGTTTTCGAGCCTTTGCATCACTGCTTCTGCAATCAAACCTGATATTGGCGATACCATAGGTTTTCCTTTGACTAGTAACTTAGAAGGTGTGAAAACACACAAAAACAACCAATCACGTCCAAGGTCGCCAGGAGAGATGATTAATAAACTCGTGGAGAAATCTGAAAGCTCACTTCAAATTGAAGTATGCGTTAAAGATGTCACCTAGTAGGGTGATGAAAGCTTCGCAAATTAACTATCCAGCTCAGAGAACACAACCATATCAAAATCATCCACCTGAGCTACAAATCTTCTCTACCATTTCTATATACAGTTTATATTCGTTAACCAATCACTGAGCGTGTGATTTCGGTTTACATTAAGCGACATGAAATAGAATGTTCAAATACATATATATAGTATTCTGTTGCTAATACAGTATTGAACTGTGGGAATTTCGGTTCCAACGACAAGACTTTCAATTGGATAGGAATTAATGATATTATACTAGAGTAGTTGAAAACGTATTTCTCTGGTGTGGCAGGAAAACGTGAATAAGTGTCAGTGGCTATGAAACTATTTGCGAGTTTCAGGTAGGTGTACATCTTCACAACGTCTTCTTGAAACTGAATCGATGCTGTCCATAGAATTTCTCTGCTCGTCTTCTGTCAGTTCAAATAGAGCATGTGTTCTTAGTGAAATGTTTCTTTCTATTTGTGCCTCTACCCGTGTCGTTTTATAACAAGCTCTAATACTGTTGCCAGTGTTAGGGCCGGGAGAGGGATAGAGCATATTTCAATGCAAGCAGAGTCAGTCGTCACTGTGACCAGCGCGCCTTCTCCACTCTCTGTCCGGATTTTTTTCTTTATTTTAATAACCGAAGCAGATCGTATCCCTTGGCATCTCTCCGAGGCTATGAAATCAGGAACATCGTATTAGGACTCTTGCGCATCGGAGACATCCTAACATGTCTCGTGGAAACGAGATCCCACCTCCAATCCACGATTCACACAACCTCGCTTCATCATATACCTTGGCGGACAGCGTATGCCCTTACGACTGTCCTATTAGGGTCACCAAGGTCTTATGACCCATACTGGCCGTCATTCAGTCCACATACATACTACGGCCTCCAACCTCTGTCACTACATCTACTCTGCCTGTCCGGGACCCCGAACCCGCATACAGCCAAGGGACAGACAGAATATGGACAAGAGGTCAGATCGTATGGTTCCACGAGGCGACCCCACAGACTAACAGACTTACCACACCAACGTTCCACTCAGACAAAAATATTTTACAAACATATTACACTGCTCTGCAAGCATAGCGGAGCCTTACACATCAATTTCGTAGCATTCAGTGTATTCTGTAATTCTAGCAGCGAGCTGTCACATTTTTTGTATACTGTCTTGTCTGCTTATTCCGTTACAGGTTGACAAAACGTCTTATATCAAGTTCAGATGATAATATTCTAAAGATATGGAATATTCAATTTGATGAAAACTCAAATAATAATTCAGATACTACTACTACTACTACTATCTTATCAGAGTTAACGACAATACACGGTGCTCATAGTGGAGAAATTAATGCGATTGATGTGTCTATCGATAATCGTCTTGTGGCTACAGCATCACGGGATAAAACTGTCAAGGTAACTTTTATGATATTACAGTTTGAAAGGTCTAAAACTAACCCTCTTTTTTATCTCTTGTAGTCATTCACTGGTGTCTAGAGATTTTAACTTATGTAAGAATGGAATTTAGACGCTGTGATTGAGTTCTGAAACAAAGCTACTATTATGGTTATTGTTCCCGGTGGATCCCGAGTTGGAAGTAGGACTTGACTCTGTTCCCCTCAGTCCTATTTAGTTGACTTCACGATTGACCATAACCTGTAATTCTCCCCTCACATAATCTTCTCCATCTCACTTTCGAAGCGATGTTCAACTCATAGTTTCCCACCTGAGGGCCAGCCTGGCGCGCGATGTCGTTCAATGGTCTCTTCAACATGTGCGGTAGAGTACAATTCCGCAATACAGTAGTTTTGAAATCATATAGCAGATTTGTAGTTCAGGTCGATAAAATTGATTTAGTTGTGTTCTCTGAGGAGGAGTAGGAGGAGGAGGAGCTGGTTGGTTTAATTGTGGAGCTTTCGTCGTCCTTCTAGACAACATTTTCAGCGCAGGTTTTAGTATGAATTCTCTTTGAATGACTGACATGTATAACTGTATCTCCTGACAACCTTTTTTTTCGTGATTGTTTGTTTATTTACATCTCCACTGATCATTTTTATTGAATTGGAATTCAAACTTTCCTCTTATGTGGCTTACTTTTTATTTGATGGTAAATTTGATCGATAATTAATGTGTCTCTTAATCTCTGATTCATATGAGTAATAGGCTTTTGATGTTTCCTCTATTTAAAATTTCTACATTATCCCAATCAAGTAATCCACAACGGGAAACTTACGGAATCCTTCGAAGTGAGGACAGGAGTAAGACAAGCTGGCTGCCTACTATCGCCAATGATATTCCTGATTGCAGTAGATTGGATAATGCGACAGACAGCGGCGGGCAATGAGGAAACAGGCATAAAATGGACTCACACAAAACAAGAACTTGGAGGATCTGTACTTCGCCGATGATATATGTCTGATTTCCCACAAACTGGAAGATATGCAAGCGAAAAGCAACAAGTTGGCAGAAGAAGCATCAAAGATAGAACTCACGTCAGGTGAACATATAGAAAACAGAGGTGATGAAGATTCTTGGGCAATACCACCAACAGCAGCAACAACAACAACAGACAACAATCAGCACCTGAAAGAAACACCCTCTTTTACCTAACTGGGAAGCATCGTTTCAACTACAGGCGGACGGAACTGACGAGGATATCAAAGCAAGAATTGGAAAAGCAAGACAAGCTTTCACTACTCTCAAGTCTGTGTGAAGGTCAACAACACTCAGCATCAAAAGTAAGATCCAGATTTTCAACTCCAATGTGAAGTCAATGCCACTCATTATACGGATCAGAGACTTGCACTGCGCGTCATGAAGAGCATCTCAAACAAACTACAGACCTTCATTAACAGTTGTCTTCGCTCAATACCACTCAAGATCAGATGGCCGGCCAGAAAAGATCAGCAACAGAGATCTCTGGGAGCGAACCAAACCAGCAGGAACCGATTGTGAAACAAATAGGCAGGAAGAAATAGAGATGGATTGTCCATGCTCTGAGGAAACCATCAAGTGACATCACTAGACAAGCCATCGATCGATTGGAACCCGAAAGGGAAGCGGCGAGTTGGTCGTCAGTGTGAGGGTGAAATGGAGGAGGTCATGTGAAGAGGAGATGAAAACGTGTGGGCAGACATGGAGCCAGGTGAAGACTCTAGGGGAGAACCGAACACAATGGAGACGGGCGGCTGAAACCCTATGTTCCTCAAGGAATTAAAGGATACAATAATAATAATAATGATAATAATAATCCCTAATCAAATCGGTGTCTGTGATTATCTACATATACATCGATGTGAAAGAATAGTTGCTGTGTTTTTTCGTCACAGCTAATTTATCTTCTTGGATTCGGATTCGACGCGGGTTGCCCACTTCGACCGATGTGGCTTTTATTACAGTTGATGCGATATATTTTGTATATGGCGTTGATCTCATCCGCTTTTGCTGTTGGTTGGGTCTTTTGGTCTACACAATGTCGAATGAAGTGATTGAGTAGTTTTATTCGACATAATCGGTGGAGTGAGACAATGTTATACATGTTTAAAAATGACGTCTCCAGTACAAATTATTGCTCGCATAAGTCTTTCAGATTTTGTATATATACTTACATTAGTTTTTATCTTTTAATTCTATTGGTGAAAATGTTGTCTCCAGGATGTCTGCCTGTATTTTGTGTAAATTTAATGAAGAAAGATTCATTAGTCGACCGATGTTAGTTGGTTACAGGTATTTGTCCACGATGTGGGCGTGGGTTCGAATCCCACCTCCGACACATGCTTTGCCTCCAAAGCCTCAGGATGGTCAGGGGTGGGTGCCTTGCGCTGCGGGTTGGCCACCCCTCCGCACACCTCTTGAAATGCTCCCATGTGACCGGGCGTCCTGAGGAAGTCCTACTCACTGCCTTCACGTGGCGGAGGTGTTTTTTCACCAAAGTGAGAGGGCAAAAGCGGATGCCCGGCGCTCTTCACCGGGTTGACGGTCCATTGGATGACAGTCTAGGGGAGATGGCTAAACCCTGATTCCAAACCTCCAACGACTGGCGTATGAAGCCCACTGGAGCTCACCGGCAGACGTATGGACTAAGGGCTTGTTGGATGTCCTGGATGTCTGGCCCCATTCAAAAAGGCGTATGAACCGAACTCCGGTGACCGGCTGCCAATGAATAGTGGACTCCCTACTCCACTCTTACTGCCTTGTAGGTCACACTTGGTTGTGTAAAGGCTAGAGCTGCACTCTCAAACAAAAGGTCGAGCGATTCTGGGGACATCACTCGTACGGAATTCCCATGAAACTTCATGAACTCTCTTACAAACAATCGCCGCGCCTGGGCAGCGATGATTTGAGATGTTCATGAAGCCGGCTCATCCTCCTGTAGGAGATAGCCGAAGTAAAGTAAAGTAAGTATTTGTCGGCTAGGGTTATCTGCCACATCGAAGGAACTTATACTTCCTCAGAGATGGAACTCATGTCATCCAGTGTTAGAAATAGAGGTGGTTTTTCGTGTCTAGCCTTCCTAGTGGAATTATAAGGTTTCAAACGTTGAGCGGTGGCGTTATTTCTATTCGTTGTAAAGTTTCTAGCCACAAAGCAACTCTTACTCCTCTTCCGGGCTTACTACAGTCTAGGTGAGGTTTAGAAGTGTGTCTGGCCGTAAATTGGGCCTTGACCTATCAGTTGGCTAGGCAGTATTTGACCATTGATCTACCAAAGAGGTAATTGGGTTAATTTAAATTATCAGAACAGGGAAATTTACCTAAGTGTTGAATTATTGACTCCAAGCAGATGACCGTCTTGGGAAAAATCTCAGCAATTGGAGAATGCATGCACTAGCAAAAAATAGCATATTAGTATAGGACAGAGCTACGATTCTAAATGATGGTACATTTAGGTTTGAGGGAGAGTTTGATCACGGAATCTTTGTTCATCGCATCAGCCAATAGAAATGACTCTATGCCTCGTGTGGTCCGGAGTTCGGTCCCCGGCCACCGACGCACTTCTTTACCTCACTAAGCCAGTAATAAGACTGGTAAAGAGGGAAGGTTAGGTATGAGGCCAGCAGCAACCCCATCCTATAAAAATAAACACCACTGCTACTGAAACTTCAAGTCTCTAGCTTAGAGGTGCCCCATGTTCCACTGGGAACGTAAAGAAATAAAGAAGACTTTGCTATTTAAGTTTAATCATCAAGGTAGTGCATAGATTTAGTTTTTAATCGTTTGATAACAATTACCAGGTTAAAAATTAAGCAAGTTAAGCTTCTTTTTACCTGGTGGTTATTTTGAACACCGTCAAAATTGTCTACAATAGGATACTTGTCCAATAGATGATGGTACGCAATCGCACTGTTTAATACCTGTAACCCTGTTTAGTCTTGTATTATACAGGAGGTTGTAGTCACTTGTGTAAAATCTTCGAAATGTTGTTAAAAGATAAGCTCACATTTGTCGTTCTTCCAGTAAAGGTTTGTACAGGTTTTGTGTGATTGGTTAGAGGATTTCATTATGTGCTTGACATCAGTCCTCGATTTGAACTCCGGTGGGTGCATACTGAAGAAGAGTTCCAGACTGGGACGAAACAACTGTCCAGTACCCCATAGTTTTCCATGATTCTTTAACCAGTTTCTCGTTTTACCCTTGTTCAAGTATTTATTTATGTATCCAAATGGAACGTATTCAAGCTGGGGTATTTAGAGGCATCCTTTATCCATTATCCCCGCCCCCTCTTAACATCTTAATCATTGTGTTTCTTATCTGTTATCATATGATTCTTTCTGGGAAAGCCATCTTTTTTGTCATTATTTTACAAAAGTTGCTCATCTACTGAATGAATGGTTTCATTTTTAATTAAAAAAGAAACAACTTTTTATTCACTTATAGATATGGGAGTTTAAAAAACACGGTTTAGAATGTCAAGGTATTCTACAAGGTCATCGTAGAGGTGTCTGGTCAGTTTGCTTTTCAAAGCATGAGAAGGTAAAGTTCACTTTTAAGCTTCTTTTGTTAAATTTTACTGTTTAGTTAATTTATTATTATTACGAGTGGAACACATAGGGCTTCCATAGCACACCACCATTTTGTCTTATTCTCGTCTGTCCTCTAAAGCTGGCCCTACTGTTGAAGATAGTCTTTCAACTCTTCCTCGCAAGATCGCCTCCATGTCACGAGTCGTTTCCTATACGGGTTCCATTTGAGAACCTGGCATGCTATTTCATTCGACGGTCTTTACAGCAACGTGTGTCCGATCCATATCCATATTCTTCGGGATATTCGTTCAGCAATGGGTTCTTGTTTGGTTTGTTTCTAGCCAAAGTTTCTTGTTGCTAATTCTTTCTAACCTGCCATTTGGTCTTCTTTATGAAGCCAGCGAGGGCAGTTGTTGATCCAAGTCTTCAGTGACCTCTTGGAAATGATTTTCGTGATGGGGGCGCCAAGTTTTTCACCCATACAGGTGAACTGACTGATTTGAAATTTGTGTTGAAAATCCGAATCTTGTTCTTTATGCTGAGTGAAGAAGATTTCCACATTGATTTCAAATTGATGAAGGTGTACCTTGCCTTTCTGATTCTGGCTGTGACATCTTCTTTGCTTTCACCTTTAGTTGAAATGATGCTTGCTAGATAAGTGAAGGAAGTAACCTTTCCAAAATTTCTGTTGATAGTGATTGGTTATCCTCATCACCTTCGTTTTCTCTAAGTTCACCTGGAATCCTGTCGTCACTGCCTGGCTCACCAGCCAGTTTATTGGTTTTTGCTTGCTAGTCTTCGAGTTTGTGTGACAGTAGACATCAATCATTCACGCGCGAAATCCAGGTCTTCTAGAGTCTTCTTATCGTTGATCCAACGTACTGCTATCCCCTCGCTCCCCACAGTTTGACGCATAATCCAGTCCACCACAATTAAGAATATCATTGGTGATAATAGGCAGCCACCTTGTCTTACTCTTGTATGCACTTTGAACGCCTCGCTGTGCTTCACTTTGTAGATCACCTGACACGTGCCACTGTCATATAGCCGTTGAATGAGATTGATAAAGACTTGAGCATTGCACACCGTAATGTTGCACTAGTTTCCAAATTATTTCTCGGTTAACGCTGTCGAAGCCCTTCTCAAAGTCGATGAAGTTGAAGTAGGGAGGGGTTTGACTGCCATTCTGTGCTTTATTCTGTGATGACGATGCGTATAGTTGCAATTTGATCAGCACATGAATGACAGCTTGTTCCGGTCGCTGATGCGGAGTTCAGTATCCAGTGCATCCTTTATTCTCTCCAGGATGATGTGACTTAGTATTTCACTTGGCGTGGACACGTGCATGATTCCACACCAGTTCTTGCAGAGGCCCTTCTCTGGCAGCTTGATGAGGTAGCCTTTTTTCAAATCCATAGCTACCTTTCTTTCTTTCCAAATCTTCACCATTAATGACGTCAGCACATCTGCTGTGGTCTCTGGGTCGGTTTTCAGTGCTTTGGGGTGGGAGAGTTCCGTCTAGTCCTGCCGCCTTCCCTTCTGGACTTCAGTAACCTGGTCCCATTTAGAATTTCTTCTTTTGTTGGAGGATTGGTGTCCGCTGGCAGGCATTTCCGTGTGTGTTGTCGGTGGTGTTTCTGGGCGAGTTGCAGGTGACGGTTGATTCAGGACTCCTCTAAAGTGATCAGCCTGTTGCTTTATTTGTTTCTCCTCCTTGATAATCAGGCTTCCTTGATCATCTTTTATTGGTTTCATCATCTGGGTTGATCTCTTCCCTGATAGTGAGCAGCCTGGTTATCTGATGTAATGTCCTGAGGTCTCTTTTACCTTTGACCCTCCTGCCTGTTCTGCTTCAGTTGCTGGCCAGTATGTCGTAGAATTGTCTTTTGTCTTTCCCACCACTCTTCTTCACTTCTTCATTCAATTCAGTGCAGTGTACATTGAACTCCGCCTCTCCTTCTGTTGTCCATCTTTGCATTGCGTCATCTTCTCTTTCACCATCCTCCTCCCCTTCTATTAGTTTCCAGGTAGGTGTCCGTTGACGGCCATTCCTTGTTTTGTCTCTTCTTTCTTCCTACCAGAACAGTTGTACACGTTACCTTAAATATCACTTTCGGCGAGCTAGTTCCAATGTTCTTCCATACAGGCTTCCTCAGTGATACCACGTAGTGTTTCCGACTTTACTCTAATATCTGTAGTGAAGGTATGCCTTGTGTTTTTGTTCTTCGGTTTCTGAATGTTGAACCTGAGTTTTGGCCTATCTCCATATGTTCTGAAGGATTTCAGCTTCACCTTGAAGATTCCTTGAACTAGATGATGGTCTGAGCCCATATCTGCTCCCCTTCTCGACTTTGTATCCAGCAGACCAGCTGCGTCTCCACTTCCTTGAGCAGCATTGATATGAAGTCTATTTGGTTTGTGGTATGTCCGTCAGGCGAAATCCATGTTGCTTTGTATATATCCTTGTGTTTGTACACGCTGCCTCCAATCACCAAATCGTTGAAAGAGCAGAAGTTTGCGAATCATTCTCTGTTCTCATTCATTTCTCCGAGCCAGGTCCTCTCGATCCATGGTGAGTTTTCTTCCTGTATTATCTGCTCCCAGTTCGCGTTGCATTCATATTGCCCATAAAGATTTTGATGTCACCATTTGGGATGCTTTCCATTACTGATTGTAGTTATCTCTGAAAATCCTCCTTCTCTTGTTCCGCGTTGTTTGTAGCACTGTGCGTAGCATTGGATAATTGTGACCTTCCTTTCTTTGGAGTTGAATCTTGCTGCCATGATCCTTGATGAGGGGATTGGTTCCCATTACATTAGGGCTTTGGCTGCCGCTGGTGATATCCCTGAAGCCACTGCCTCAGTGTGTTCGTCGTTGTCGTCTGTGTGATCAGATCGGAGTAGATTACTGACTCACTAGTTGACAGTTTTGAAAATCCACATCCATTCCATCGGCTCTCGCAGATACGCAGCACTCCAATTCTAAGCTAAATCAGTTCGTGCTCAAACTTGTAATCAATCACCTCACTAGTGGGTTACCACAGGGTGAAGTCGCCTGAAGTCCTAATGGGAATTCGTGACTATTGGGGTTCTACCAAGTTGGGTGTGAGTAGAGGTAATCGCCTATGTTATTTGATGGCGGTCGCGTTAAATATTTCGAATTAACAAATACTAGAATATACAGGCCCTTGGATTCCGTCCCGGTGGCTCAATAACATGCGAGGTCGCCTTGTAACAGGTAGGTCCCGGATTCAATATGTGGTGGGTGCTTGCTGATGAAGAGTTCCAAGCACGGACAAAGCCGTAGTCCAGTACCTCCTGGTTCTCACTTGTTCTTGAACAAACCCTGTGTTAATCTTGGGAGACTTTGCTGAGGAAGAAATTGCATGGTAATTTCATGCATCTTTCAGTATAATTAGTTGAATAGCGTTAGAAATGTTTGATGAATATGTGCACGAGGTTTCAACGTCTTATCCTAATCGTTTATTGCTCTTCTCAGTATTCCTTTGATCATTGAATGTTGCATGAATACCTCATCCATAATTTAAAAAACAAACTAAAAGTCTTTATTCCTTCTGTGTGATTGAATATTGTGAATTTGACTTTTTTTTACTTTTTCAAAGGTTGTCCTAACCGCTTCAGGTGATGGTGATGTGAAGTTATGGAATTTGAAGGACTTTTCATGCATAAGAGTAAGTTTGGAACACCCTTTGAGGTGCACAACTTTTTGAATACTCTATTGTATTACTTAAATTATATTTAAGTAGTTCGTTTTAAACCTCCAAATGCTGTCATGTGTTTTGCGTTATGAGTGAATCAGTTTTCATTCTTGGTCATACAATAATGATGAATTTTAATTCAGCTGGGTAAACTCATAAAGGTTCTTGTACTAGGGCAGCAAACCATGTCTATTACAGAACTCGACTTTCGGTCGTCGGCTCCAGCTCCACCTAGACAGCCTCGGAAAATCGAATCTTTCTTCATTCATTTCAGCTTGGACAAGAGATGGCAAATAGATTGTTTATTTTATCCAGCACGATATAATGTAGAAGCACTACATTGTATGAGAAAAGTGTCTTTTCAGGAGGCGATTATGCATCTTTTCAACCTGAAACATTGATGTCATAACAAAATTTACCGCTGGGTACTGACCACCGTAGGGTATGTCGGGATGTACAATGTTTGGGGTCGACCTTTTCTAACCCCTTCTCTCCAGAGTAGAGAAACAGCATAGCTGTCATGTTGGTCATCTGAGGGAAACAATTCACTGCTGTTACATCCATGTTCCCCAGCAGTACGACTTCGACCACAGACCCCAAGCACAGTGTGAAAAAATCCGGTAACTGCTTTTAGTCTAATCGCTATCTTAACAATTTTGCTAGCATAGTAGGACCTACAGGAAGAATAGTTCCAGCCAATGTAGCTTGTTTGGTCATTGTGATGTGCAAGCCCGACTACCACGTCAAGGTAGCAGCTATCGGTCGGGACGGTAAAAAACCAATGGCTGGAAACAATCGGTGATATGGCTCAAAGTGATCGTTCTCAATGACCGATGCAGATGCATCCACTCCTTGTGACTTATAATTTCCAATGAAACTATATTGTTCTTCGTTATTACTGTTCCTTTGTTTCATATCCCTATCTGCTGTCTTAATTATGCATTTCTTCTACTTTCTTCTCTGGCTTTGTGTGTTGCATGTGAGAAGTGTGGCGATTTGAACTGCTGCACATCGATGCAAAGTTCTATGTTCAAAACAGACAGTCATAACAAAATCTTGAAGGATTGTTATATTAAGTGCTGAGAATTATGACTTCATTGTCGGCTGTTGAAAGACACAATGTTCGCCTCTACGCACATGTTTTATAGTCCAGTTTTCAGCCACCGTGCCCCTTAACCTCATCTACATATACCACTCGATATTGATCCATGAGAAGCGGGAGGTTTGGGAGTATGGCTACTTGCTTCACCCCGTAAAAACAACACCCTAACTTCTGAAACTTCAATGCTCATGCTTGAAGCTCTGTGTTTAACTGGGAATGCAAGGAAGTGAAAATAGCAAACTGTCCTATATCTTCTGATGTAGCTTTTCAGGTTGGTTGTCTTTCACAATTGTATGAACGTAAAGTGGTGACAATGGACATTGGCTCAGTAGCAATGCGCAGTCCAGTGTGCAAGTGTCAAAGATGAAAATAACACCAATGGATAATGTTTTTAAGGACATCAGTTGTTATGAATACTATTCAAGCAATCTGTGGCCATACCTACTCTTAGAGTGGTTTATTGACTCAGATAATTGGATTTCAATCCATTGATTTCTGGCGCAAATCCCTCCCACTTCTACTTAGCTGTGAGTAGTCACGTGTATTGCAATATTTTCTAGGAAAGTACTGCCTGTGCGTATTTTACCCCCTAAATATATCGTATAAGAATATGATTGGGAATACTGAATACCGAACACAATCGTAGGAGCTAAACTATGCATCTGCATTATTATCCTTATTATAATAATTTGGCATGCGATTCGCCCCTGTAAAATGTAAGATGATCCTGCAGGATTGGACTTCACCGACCCCTAGATTAGAAATAGGAAGTGAAGTGGTAGAGCACGTTGACCGCTTCACTCACTTGGAAAGTACCATCAGCCCCAATGGGTTGATCTCCGACGAAATCTCAGCACGAATACAGAGGGCTAGTTTCGCATATGCCAGTTTACGCCGTCTCTGGCATAGACGCGATATCCCACTATCGACCAAAGGGCGTGTGTACTGCTCAACAGTCCGCTCCGTCCTCCTTTATGGCTGTGAGACCTGGCCATTGAGAGCAGAAGACATGAAAAGATTAGCTGTCTTCGATCATAGGTGTCTGCGTTCTATCTCCCGTGTGAAGTGGTATAACAAGGTGAGCAATATTGAGGTTAGCCTTTGGTCAAGTGCTAGGTATGTGGGAAGGGAAATCAGTCGACGAGACTGTGAAATTACATCGACTGAGATGGTTAGGACATGTGCTACATATGCCTAGTCATCGCCTTCCTCGACGGGCAATGTTAGCTGAAATAGGGTCAGGCTGGAAAAGAGCTAGCGACGGTCAAACGAAAACATGTCACCAGTCAATGAAATCTACAACTGTTAGTGTAAGCCACGTAGGAAGGTGTAGACTTCCTGACTGGTTGGGGTCCTCGGGACGGTAAAAACCAATGGTTGGAAACAATTGGTGACATGGCTCAAAATCGTTCTCAATGGCAGGCGCAGATGCATCCACTCCTTGTGACTCATGATTTCCAATTAAACTGTTTTGTTCTTCGTTATTACTATTCCTTTGTCTCACACCTCTGTTTACTGTCTATATTATGCATTTCTCCTACTTTCTTCTCTTGCTTTGTGTGGTACATGTGGGGAGTGTGGCGACTTGAACTGCCGCACATATGTACTAAGTTCTATGTCGAAAGCCGACCGACCGACCTAATTATTCCCTTGAGTTTCGAGTGAAACATAAGCCCTGAGCGGCATATCTTCATTACATTCAATTGTCAACTGTCTCCACGAATTCCCATGTGCCTTCATTCCCCTCTACATCACTCTTGGATGCTCAGCCTCTCGCCTCCTCTTCGGATTCCACTTGATTGTTTATCTAGCCTGTGGGGCGTCGCTCAACGCTATTTTAAGCGTATGTGTAACCCACCTCCATCTCCTTCTGCTTATATTGAAGACATGAAAAGTTTGACTGTTTTTGATCATAAATGTCTACGATCTCTTTCTCACGTTAGGTGGTATAATAAGGTAAGTAATGTTGATGTCAGGCGTAGAGTGTTGGGCAAAGAGGGAAAATCAATCGAAGAGGCTATAAAGTTGCATAGATTGAGATGGCTAGGTCACGTGCTGCGCTTGCCTAACCATCGCCTCCCCCGACGGGCATAACTAGCTGATATAGAGGCAGGTTGGAAAAGAGTAAGTGGTGGCCAAACAAAAACATGGCCTCATCAATCCATGAAATCCCTGCCAATTAAACTGAGTCAGGTAGGGAGATGCAGATTTCCGGGTTGGGGCCCTCGGGACTCTAAGAATCAATGGTTGGAGACAATAGGCGACATGACTCAAAATCGTTGTCAATGGCTTACGCAGATGTATTCAGTCTCTGTAATCTTTCATATTCCTTTCTACCATTACTCATTGTGTTTCACTCTTATACTTGTCTACCTTTGTGTGCTATTTGGAACGTGGCAACTCGAACTGCTGCACTTTGGTGCCAAGTTCTATGTTGAATCCAGACAGAGACAGACCTTCTGCTTATATAATGGATAATGGGTTGTCGGCTAGGTTGGTAGCAAACTTCCTTGTTACTTTTCCTTTTTAGCCAACCATCTGACCTTCAGTATGGAAAGAAGTCAGGTATCTATATAAGTCTTCAGTGGCCTGTTGGAAGTGTTTTTTGTTGATATGCCGATATAAAACGCTGATGACGTCTTCATAAAGTGAATTAAAGCCAGAAATTGGCATGCTATTCATAATGATTGTTAATTTACTTCGATGAATACTGTACTTACCTCGTCATAGTGGTTCCCACAGGAGTATCGTATGCCTTCATACATTGTGTATGAGTTATATTTGCAGAAATTAAAAATTGTAACCGATCTTCATCTGATCGACTAAAGATTGCCCAATGTGGACGTGTCTATCTCAAGTATTCCTTTCTGTCAACTCGTCCGTGTTTCATCTGATGCGTGTATGTTTTGTGTAATCGCTTGTTGATGCGATTCATTACTTCGGGAAATCGACTTGCCATCTGTGGGTCCTAGGTTCGACTCGCGCTCCAACCAACTTCATCCTATGCAATTGGCTGTTAGTCTAAAACACTAGAAATCTGATCCTAGTCTGACTGACTGGTTTCAGCGTAGAACTTTGCACCATTAGGCAGCAGTTTGAGTCGCCACAATTCACTTAGCGCACAAAACAAGAGAAAAGAGTAAAAAAATGTTGAAAATAGAGATAATAAACAAAGATGTGAGGCTAAAAGAATAGCATTGTGGAGCAAAAGTATTGTTTTGCTGGATATTATGAGTCACAAGGAGTGGATGCATCTGCGCTAGCCATTGAAAACGAGAATTTTGAGCCATGTCAGCAGTTGTCTCCAGTTTTCATTGGTTCTTACCATCCCGAAGAACCCAACTAGTGAGGAAGTCTACACCTCCCTGCTTGGCTGGCTCAAAACTAACTGTTACGGATTTCATTGGCTGATAAGGCCGTGTTTTGTTTTAACCACCACTAGCTCTTTTCCAGCCTGACCCTATGTCAGCTAACATTGCCTGTCGAGGAAGGCGATGGATAGGGATGCATGCTTAACACATGTCCTGACCTTCTCAATCGGTGTAACTTCACAGTCTCGTCGACTTATTTCCCATCTCACATACTCGACTGAAGCCTAACCTCAATATTGCTCACCTTATTATACCACTTCACTTGGGAAATAGAACGCAGGCGCCTATGATCAGAGACAGCTAGCCAACCTTTTCGAGTCGTCCACTTTAAATGGCCATGTCTCGCTTACAGCCATAAAGGAGGACGGGGCGGACTGCTGTGCAGTAAATACGCCCTTTGGTCGATAGTCAGCTAGACATCACGTCTACTAAGCCAAAGACGGCGTAAACTGGCATATGCAAAACGAACCGAGTCACTGAATTGTAACTAGTCAACGCGGTTTATTTCCATGGATACCAAACTTTTGTTGATAGTGTTGTTTTTGACTATTGACTTTCTATGTCTGATTATATAACTGAAACGTACCTTGAAACCAATCTTGTAAATCTTTATTGTAGACATTAGAAGGTCATGATCAACCTGTATACAAAGCCGTCTTCCTTTCTCAAGATAAACAAGTATTATCCTGGTAAGTCAGTCTATTATCCTGCTAACTTGGTTATTGTCATATGTGTGTTGTTCAGAGAATGTTTGGGGAATTTGTTTTTTCTGTATAATAAGAGTATTGCAAGTCTATTCATCACATATATTATTGCATACCAATAGAAAAGCAGATGTATAAACTTCTCCGTTCATTTTTTGGTTGAGTTCAGATTTCAAATTTTTAAGTGTCGTTTGAGACAGTCCAATGATTCTGAGATAACGGCTAGAATACTGAAACCACCAGTAAAATCGCTTTAGGATTTCATCATAGGCTGACATCGGTTAAAGAACCGTTGAAAAACCTGCTTGTACTGGACAGCTGTTTTGTCAGCCTAGTTTGGGGCTCTTCATCGGTACGCACCCGCTACTAGGGTTCGAAACCAGGACCTTCCGTTTACTAGGCGAGCGAGCCCGTAAACCAGTCATCCACTGGGACTTTATCTAATGGCTCAATCGTTTCATTCTGTACTATGTCGACTGAGATACCCCAAACGACAAAATGAAGACAAGTTCAGCAGTATCTAAAATGTAAATTGCCTGAATTGTGGTAAGTAGCATATTGGCCATAATTGAGCATTCCTTTCGACTCCGAGTTCAAGCAAGTAAATTAGCTGTCAAAAGACGCGATGTGTTTTCTTTCATATCAATACACATAACGGGCTCGAGTTTGATTGAGAAAATGTAGAAATTTTAGACAGAGGAAACATTTAAAGTCTTTCCAGGGAAATTCTCGAATCTTGATACTCACGTGAATTAGTGATTAACAGACATATTGCTGTAGACCATATTTACCAACTAATGCAGAATAAACCACATGCCAAAAAGTGGAATTCTAAGTCATTAAAAACTAGCAGTTAACAACCCGACCGAAAGCTGCTACCTTGACGTGGTGGTCGGGCTTGAACACCGCAATGACCCAACAAGCTATACTGGCTGGAACTTATGTTCCTGCAGGTCCTACCATGCCAGGAAGGTTGTTCGGATAGCGGTTAGACTAAAAGCAGTTACCCAACCCAATCCTATGATTTCAAATACATCACAAAATATCATGCCGGATCGGTCGGGGCCCGGATTAACAACGACCGCGCTTTCTGCTGCCGTGTCACAGGGCAGAAGTGATAAATACGCTACTGAGACACACCAAATAAAAAACAACAAACAAAAACAGGCCGTGTGTGACCGGCCTCAAGCAGTTGTCCCCTGGGCTCTGCGGTCACGCAACCAACTTCCACGGTGTGGGCAGCCGGGAAGCAACAATCGCCCTCACAACCCGAAGAGCACACGAAACCTCTCTATTCCTCACTCACCTTTGTCTTCATCTTCATCTCTATTATCTTGCCTTCCTTCTACTAATGCAACTCCTCTACTTAATGGCTCTTCACTTCCTCTTCATTCTGTGTGCACTGAAAACGACGGAAGCCAAAAAGCCACCATCGATAGTCTCCTAAAGCCACGTCACCAATTTCATATAGGGGCATTTAATGTTAGGACACTCTGCCAAATAGGACAACAAGCATCACTAGCCAAGACTCTGGAATCCCGAGCCATTGATGTATGTTGTGTTTCAGAAACACGCATACAAGACCCAAGTGTGGTTATTCACCTAACCCCACCTGGCCAACAGGATGAATCTGCAAAATTCACCTTGAGGGTGTCAGGAGATGCGACGGCTAGCTCACGAGGATTAGCTGGTGTTGGGATAGCTCTGAGTACTAGGGCAGAAAAGACACTACTTGACTGGATCCCGGTAGATAGCCGAATGTGTGCTGTCCGTCTGAACGGATCAGTGAAAAGGAGAAAGGACTGCACTACTCGCCGATGCCTTTTCATAATCTCCGCCATCGTTGGCGTGGGTCGGTAGGAGATTGTCGCTCCTTCTGGAACACGTGTGTAGATACCGATCACGCACTGGTCCGCGCTCGTGTGTGCTTACGACTGAACGGACGTAGGAAACAGCTGGCGGTAAACCCATCACGTCCCCAACTCGATCTGGAAACTAAGTCCCTATTTGAGGAAGAACTAGCTAAACACATATCTGAGTTCGACAGCTGCGCTCACCCTGAAGAAGCCTGGAAGAATATTAAATCAGTCATAGATACAGCTGTAAAAGCTGTGAATAAAGTAAATCCAAAGGTGAGTAAAAACCATTGGATTTTGGCTGCCTCATCCGAACTGATAGATGCTAGAAGACTTATTCCGGCGAGCTCCGAATTCAATGAGGAGCGAAAGCTGCACAAAAAGAAACTTACGAAAAGTCTCCGCAAGGACCGTGAACAGTGGTGGTTGACAAAGGCGAAAGAGATGGAAAAAGCATCGGCGATAGGCAACACTAGGCAACTCTTTAGACTCATCAGGGAAACGGGTGGGAGAAGGCAAATCATAAGTGAGACTATTTGTGAGAAAAATGGCTCCTCAATTAGTTCTCAGGATAGACGCCTCGAACGCTGGAAAGAACACTTCGAGGAACAGTTCAACTTGCCTACAGCCACACTGAGCCTCCCCGCCACCCAGCACACACCCGAATGGGACATAGACACTGGCCCGCCGTCTGTAAGTGAGGTCACCAAAGCGATCTGTAATTTGAAACGAGGCAAAGCGGCAGGAGCCGACGGAATTATTCCGGAGGTATTTAAATATGGGGGTGACATGCTAGTATATAGTTTAACTAAGGTACTAGGTAACGTCTGGGAATCAGAGACGGTTCCATCAGACTGGGGTAAGTCACTTATTATACCGATTTTCAAGAAGGGAGACAAGTCGTCATGTGATAATCATAGGGGGATCAGCTTAACGAACATAGTCTCTAAAATCCTAGGCTCAGTAATCATGAACAGACTAAGCCGAACTCGGGAGGAACAAACGAGGGAAAATCAAGCGGGCTTTAGGCCAGGTAGAGGGTGCATAGATCATATCTTCACTCTCCGTCAGATCCTAGAACATAGACACACTTTTAGGCGTCCAACAATTGCCATATTTCTTGACTTGAAGGCGGCCTTCGACTCCGTGGATCGAGAGGTTCTATGGCAATGTTTGACTATGAAGGGAGTGCCAAGAAAGTACATTGCACTAATCAAGGCACTCTACTCAAACTCACGTAGCTGTGTAAGGGCTTATGGGGAATTGTCATCTGAATTGATAACAACCAGTGGTGTCCGTCAAGGAAGTCCACTTTCCCCTTTTCTGTTTAACTTCATCATAGATATGCTAATGGAAGTATCCTTAACTGAACTTAATGACTTAGGAATCGACTTGTTACCAGGGAATAGTCTTATAGACTTAGAATACGCAGACGACATAGTCCTGTTAGGGGAGGACGCTGACAGAATGCAGAGTCTTCTGAACACCTTGAGCAGCAATCTTCGTATGTTTGGCATGCGATTCGCCCCTGTGAAATGTAAGATGCTGCTACAGGACTGGACTACGTCGACTCCTAGCTTAGTGATAGGGAGTGAAGTGATAGAACATGTTGACCACTTCACCTATTTGGGAAGTTGTATCAGCACCAACGGATTGATTGGTGACGAAATCACAGCACGGATCCAGAAAGCTCGGGCTGCTTTCGCTAACTTACACCATCTCTGGCGTAGGCGTGACATCCGGCTGTCAACCAAGGAACGTGTATACTGCTCATCAGTTCGGGAGGGAGATGCAGACTTCCGGGTTGGGGCCCTCGGGCCTCTAAGAATCAATGGCTGGAGACAATAGGTGACATGGCTCAAAATCGTTGTCAATGGCGCAGATTTATTCAGTCTCTTTAACCTTCATATTCCTTTCTACCATTACTCATTCTGTTTCAATCTTATACTTATCTAAATTCTATTGATTCTCTTCTCTCCTTTTCCCGTCTACCTTTGTGTGCTATTTGGAACGTGGCAACTCGAACTGCTGCACTTCGGTGCCAAGTTCTATGTTGAATCCAGACAGAGACAGACAGCAGTTAACAACTATTCATGACAGAAGTTGTCAGTAGGATACAATTATATCATCCATGAAGAAACAATTCGAATAAATACACTCCAAATTCAGCAAAGGAAGTCTGTGCTGAAGTTGTTGTCGAGAAGGACAATCACATAGAAAAAAAACCAGTTTCAATTTTTTCAGCTCAGAGGAAAACTGCTTGAGGCCGATCACATGTGACCTATTTGAAATGGTTTTTAGAGTTGTCTCCGTATTAGTAACTTACCGCCAGTTACGGACTGACGTAGGGTAAGTTCGAATGTAAAGTTTTTAGGGTCGACCATTTCTACCCGCGCCACCCGGTTCTGCAGAGTTGAGAGACCGCATAGCTGGCTTGCTGGTCATCTGAGGGAAACACCTTATTGCTGTTACATCCCTGTTTCTCAACAGTGCGACTTTGCCCACAGACCCCCAACATAATGGAAACATCAACACTATGCCGGTAACTGCTCTTAGTTTATCCGCTTTCCAGATGGCCTTTCTGGCATGGTAAGACATCTGGAGCCATTAGTTCCAGCCAGTGTAGCTTGTTTGGTCATTGTAATATGCGAACCGACCACCACAGCAAGGTAGAAGCTATTGGTCGAGATGTGTGTGATATACATATATATTTCGTAAGTGATATGCACTGAAAATATGATTTTAAAACTTGAAAATTTGATAATTTTTCGCTGACAATAAGTTCTAGAATTCCAGAGTTATTGTCAGAATTCTGTCAAAGATCCTTATCTGTCATAAACTGTCTAGTGTTTTCCACACTGGCTTACTTCACTTCATATCTTGGAAGTATTTTCTATTCTGCGTTGTTTGATTTATAATAGGATTATGGAATTCTTGGCGATTTGGATTAAATTCAATCCTATAACCTGAATATCAGTCTCTCTAGCCCCATTGGTGGCTACTGGGTGGTGGTGTTCTGAAGCTGCACTGAGTAGTTGTGACCAAAAGGGTCCATCACCTGATTGTGGTTAGCACTATGTCAAGAATTCTCCCAAGTGGTTAAGTGGTCAATCAACATGGTGTCACAATGGCAAAGTGCCGAGTTCATTCAGTGGTACGGTGTTGGATGTGTACTGATGAAGAGTCCCACACTCGGATGAAACAACGTGGTACCCTGTTCCCTGGTTTTCACTGGTCTGTAACTGGTGTGGTTTCGTGACTACACCTAACAACTGAACTGATTAATTTTAAGCCGAAACTCTCAGTTTCTGTTGACACGTTGGCTTCTAGCACGAACGCTTTGATCATGCCTATCAATCAACGGAAGATTCGAAATAACCTTAAGAAATAATAATTCAAACACATGGTACAAGAGGTGGCTCTTTTGACCCAATGGCTTAGTGGATAACCCATTGGAGTTTTAAATAATGTGTGCTGGATTTTGGCCTTAGGGGAAGCACCATCACTCACTGGTGTGATGCTGGTACACCCATCTGACGAGTCTCAGATAGGTTGAAACCCTCGTCCTGAATCCAGCTACTAAGCACAAGCAGCCAAATAAAGCACTGGTCCACATCTGTTAAATGTTTTAATCAATGCCTTTTTGTGACTTAACTCTTTTCTCTTGTTTTACTTTTCACCTTTTCAAGTGACCAGAAAGGCTTGATAAGATTATGGAATATTTCGAAGCCACCGTCTAAAAAGTCAGAGAAAGATGAAAATTCCGCGAAGCCATCTGAAGAAACATCATCACTAGTTTATGAAGCACATGATGGACGAATTTGGTCTCTGGCTGTTTGTCCAGATGAAGGAGGCTTTTTCACTGGTGGAGAAGATGAAACATTGTGTTATTTTGAAGTAGGTTGAAGTAGACGTGTTTTGTTACTTTGTGAAATCGATGATATTTGTGCTCTCAGTCTGTTTTTGTTCTAATTGTGTCTTCTGTCCGAATATGACTTATTTGTAAGATGCCAGGAGTCACATATGGTATTCCAAATCTTAGACTGCAGCACTGAAGAATGCAGGTTCGAACCTTCGAAGGAGCATCATTTCCTATGTTGTTGCAGATATGCCTTGGTAACAGGTGTCAGTAAGCCAGAAATTTGTATCCTAGGCTTCTTACAGATTGTCTACAACCTTCTCTGCGGCTGTTACGAAATTGGTTAGTGGAATGCATTCAAGTGTTGGTTTGTAGTGATCTGATTGGTTACAGGATTTCATCATTGGAAAACCTGGGCATACGGGACAGCTATCTCGTCCCACTAGTTTGAGACTCTTCATCGGTGCGAACCCATCATCTGGGTTCGATTTCAGGGCCTTCCGGTCAAAAGGCGAGCTCGTAGATCATTAAGGCACTTGTGAAAAGTCATGACCAGTGGGGTACAGCAGGTCGGGTGTAGGGACAAACACTCACCATTGATGTCATTGGCTAATGGTCGCGCTATATTGTAAATTGGTATAAGTTCGAATTCATGGACTGGCCATTGGATTGGGTCTCAGTGGCTTGATGGTCTACAAGCTTGACTTGTAACCGGAAGGTCCTTGGTTCGAACCCTGTTGGGTGCTTACTGATGAAGAGTCCCAAACTAGGTGTTCAGTACTCTCAGGTTTCCCAATGGTTCTCCAACTGATGTCAGCTCATGATGATATCCTGATAGAATTTAGTCAGCTGCCGGATGGATATCTGAGGAGTTGGATTCGCAGTTTTATGTTGGAAATCAAGCTGCTTCATCTATCTCACAGCCTTGATGTTTAGTTCATTCGTAGACCTCCGACAATGAGGAAGCTAGACTGCATCTGCTAGCTTTACCATCATTTCCTTCTTATGATTGTTTGAATGTGATAGATTCAAAAGTTGTTACACCATAACAAGGAGTTTCATTTCTCAGAAAACTAGCTTTGCCCAAGAGAGTTCCCCATGGCCTATTGTTAACAGAATAGCCTGTACCAGGCAACTTGTGTTCGCTACCTTCACGTGACGGCGGAGTTCCGTCCCAAAATTGAGAGGGAGAATGCGACAGTTTGACACTTATAACTGAACTGGTGGGCACGCTGGTCTGCACAGGGGAGCCAGGAAACCCTAATTCCAAACCTATGTTGTACATGGGCTCCAGAATCCTAAATCATCGAATAGCGTATGAACCTGTCTTGATCACTGGAAACCATGGAAACGCAACTCCATTGCCTTGTGGATGTGACTTTAAGTCAAAGGCTCAGGAAGAGGAATGAACCCCCAAGAAAACCATCTGCTGCTGTTTCTACACCCGGGCAGTATCCAGCCCTCACACAAACGCTGAGATTTTTTGTGGCGTATCTTTTGATACCCATATTGTACCAATTTTGGTGTTTGCAATAATATCACACTGTTGGCAGATATCTGCTGTGTTTGCCCTGTGCATTAAGTGATCCTTATAATTGATTGGCATTTGTAGATTCTTCAAAATTGCATAAAATTAAATCTGAAGTGTCATTCCACTCCATGACTAAAAATTCTGCCAGGTGTAAATTAATCTCAAAGTAGCTAACCATCATCCTGTAGTTACCTTATACCGCTTACTATTGGAAAGCAGTAGGATCTTAAGTTTCAGGTTTTAGGTGGTTGGATCCAGTTGGTAGGAGGCTCTGGAGTGGAATTGAGTTTTTCGTGCTTGTTAGCATTTGCATAAGCGACTAGAGCCCTCTCAGAGTTTCGAATCTGTATTACCTGGTGCTGTGCTACCAGACACGTTACCGCTGAGATGTTCAGGCGCTGTGATTATGCCTTCTAAGAATACTTATAATTGGTTTATTTTGTATGCTGTGCTTCTTGATATTCAGAATGTATTGAGTGTGCGTTTTTAATTTTCCAGGATATTACAGATAAGGTATTAGAAGAAGCTATACAACTGCAGGAGGATTTCATTCAAACGTGAGTTTAACCATGATAGGATCTTTTTATTTCTCGTCATACGATTACCTTCTCATGTTAATGGGTGCTAACGTAAGGTGAAATGAGATATTGGACATGAGACAAATGTTTTTTTTTTCTGTCGTGTTCAGTGGTATACTTTGGCGAGCGATATTCGTGTTAGGTGTAGAGTGTGTCAGGTAAGGAGGGAAAATCAACCAATGAGGTTGTGAAGCTATATCGATTGGGATAGTTAGGACACGTTTTGCACACGCCAAGCCACCGCCTCCCTTAATTAGCAATGTTAGCTGGAAAAGAGTTGAGGGTGGTCAAATCAATCCATGAAATCTTTGGTAGTTAGTTTAAGCCAGCAAGTTACGTAGGGAGGTGTAGATTGCCCGGCTGGTTTGAGTCCTCAGGATTCTAAGAACCTGATAGCTGGAGACTAATGGTAATATGCCTCGAAATTGTTCTGTGTGATGCCGCAGATGCATTCACTCTCTTTGTGATCTGTTACTAAGTTCTAGGTTCGAATTCTTCTCCGCCCGCCTCACTATGCACAAGTAAGTAGTATCATTAGGTCTCATTCGAATAAGTTTGCCTTATAGTTTGTCATGTGACAAGTTTGTTTTAGTTAACTGAGTGCCGACAACACTCACGTTGGATACGGCCGATTGATGAGAAGTTTATGAGATCAGAGCTGTACGTCTGGGTATCAGAAGGAAGTTTTTCATATTTGCTTATAGTCTAAACAATTTTAGCTAACTTTAATTCAGTTTAGATTTTCCCGTTGATTGACTGGACCGAAGTGCTCGGTCTTACGTTGACATGTCGTCTCCTTATACGGGTACTTCGACGATGTGTGAGGATGGTGATTAGCGGTGGAGTCCAGGACAACGGGCATTTTGACTGTCCTACTTGGGACATGTCATCTGAAAATACCTGAATTCCCGAGTGAATAAGTGGTGGTGTTCCCAATGAGGCCCGAACACAGTACCCATAGTTTCAAATGCCAGAGCGTTATCCACCAGAGCACTTGGTTAACGAGAACCACCTGTTGTGCAATGGGTGTTTGTGTCAGTTATCATGTTTTGAATTCAATCTTGTGTTTCCCTTTCGATTGATTGGAACGAAATGTTCTGCTTCTGTTGATATGTGTTACGGGAAAGTTCAAATTGATTTAAACGTTTTTTTTAAGTGGCGTCCTTATTTATCAAGTTAAATGCGCCTCTAAACGGAAACAAATTGTATCAATTGTTCAAATATTCGCCTCAGTGGTATGGTGTTTGTCTTTTCACAATTCCCAATAGACAACACTATGTTTTCTTTTTTATTGCTCTTTTGTTGTGTGATATCATTCAAGTCGGCGGTAAACAGATAACGTATTGTTACTTCAATGCTTATATACATATATATATGTATATATATATATATATATGAGGGTTTCTGAAGGGAAAGTGTGGTAAACATTTTCATTTGGAAATATTTTTATTATGTAAATAATAAATTACAGTTTAAAACCTTTGTAAAAGTAGACAAAAATTTGAAAAAAGGATTTCGTTTTATGTAATCCTTTTTTCTTTTGAATACATGGCGTCGTGGGATTGAACCTATGAATCGCTGGTGTCTCAGCTGTTCTCAGCCAGACGCCTTAATTTCACTCTCTTTGAAGGACACGGTTGATATTATCTTGTATATGACTTTGAAGGATATTCCAAATAGGTTTAAATGCCTTGAAGTCAGCAGATGTTCTGTTACTGGAAGGGTGTATACAGTTCGATCAAGCCTCCTGAAGAGTCCTGGACTAAGACGAAGCAACTGTTCAGCAGGTTTTGATGATTTTCCATAATAATTCTCCAACTGAATTTGGTTCGTGATTTCATAGAACTTAAAAATAAAATAATTAATCTTGTGTGGAAACTGAAGCAACCGGAGAATAGTTAAGTAAGGGAATTAGATGGTTGAAAGCAATCGGTAGGAAGCCTTCGGTCCATGTTTCATAGTGGTTGGCACTCACCAGTCAGCAAAGCGTATCTGCAGTCTTGAAAGAACTCATTTGCCTTCTGTGTTTTGAACCCCTGTCATCCAGTACTGCAGTCAAAGACGTTACCACTGAGCTATTCGGGGTCGCATGATTGACCTCCTGTAGGACTGAGTGTATTGGATACTTCGATTGGACTCTAGTTAGTAACTAGTGTAATGTGTCTACTTCCAAGGCTTCCTGCTGACTGCTTTCATCCATCTGATACCAACAATTCACAGTATATGTGGTATTCATATTGTTTCACATGCCACTGAGGGCATTCAGTTCAAAGTGAGAATAGTAATAGTAACAATTGACATAATCAAGGGTGCAAGAACACTATCCTGCATGGTTACGAAAAGGAGGAAGTGGAGCAATAAGCAGTGCGATCATTGAACATCTGGTTGATAATGAACACCGTATCTCTACAGTCTCCGCCTTTAAAGTTCTCTGCAAACCACAAGGTAATTTACTCAAATCAATACTTACCCGACTCATCTGTATTGCTGAAGTTTTGGCTATCGAAATAGAAAAGCTAGATCTCTGTATACAGAAAAAGTTCGTTCAACCCCTCCAACTTTCATGGTCTTAATCCCTCTATGTTAAAGTATGATAATCCCTAATCATATTTTGGCTCTACCAATATTTTTTTCATTTTGTTTATTTAATTTGTATACTCTTCTAACAGTTTGAAAAAATTTCGGCATTGGGTATATGATATTCATCATAATAAAGGTTTTTGTATTTCGCAATGAATGAAAAACAAAACGACATTGTTTTTCATTCATTGGGAAATACAAAAACCTTTATTATAATTGTATACTCTTCCTTTATTACGTCAATTTTTACTATTATTATTATTATTCTCACTTTGAACTGTCCCCGGTATTATTTCACCCCTTCCACTTGTCATTCTAAATCAATTCTGTTTTGCAACATTAAATTCAAAGTTATCAAATTTCGTCCATTGTTACGTAACGTTTTTATTTTATTCGAAAAAAAATATATAGGATTAGTAAGCAAATAAAATAAAAACGTTACGCAACATTGTGTGAGATTCGGAAACATAGAATTTATTTATCAAGTTTGACCACGGATTCACATCAGTTAGAGAACCATTGGCAACCACCATTGGAGTACTAGACAACTGTTTCCCTACTAGTTCCCTACTGTTCATCATTACGCACCTGTCGGGTCTCGAACGCAGGACCTTCCAGTTACAAGGCAAGTTCGTAGACCATGCAGACATTGAGACCTGACTCAATGGCCCATGAATTCTCTAATTTCTACTAAGTCGTGATTTTAGCGTGACAACTAGCCAGTGTCGTCGCTGGTGAGCATTTGTCCTCACTCTCGACAGTATGGACCCCGCTGGTCACTACTTCTTACTAGAACTCCAGGAAGCTCTGTCCTATAGCCGGTCAACAATTTAACGTTGTAAAAGTTGATTTCAAATGACAAGCAGGACGAGTGAAATAATACCGGGCGACAATTCAAAGTAAGAATAATAATAATAATAGTAACAATTAGCGTAATAAAGGAAGAGTATACAAAATGAATGAACAAAACGAAAAATACCTAGAGTGCCGAAATATGAATGAGGATTATCATGCCGTAGCATAGAGGGATTGAGACTATGAATGTTGGGGGGGGGAGTTGAATAAACTTTTTCTATATACTGAGATCTGGCCTTTCTATTTGCCTACTAATCCCTATAATTTTACGCCCCTTTCCAACATATATACCATTGAATTATTTAATCTCATGTTCTTACTGACCATGTATACTTTAAACGATAATAAAACTAACTGATTATTGTTCCATTTATTTATTTTTCATTTATTGTGTGAGAGCTGAAATACTGCCTAGGCGTCCAGACCGAAGGAGGTGGTTTTCTTAAGGGATCACCCCCCGAGCTTTTGACTTGGAGTCTAATCTGCAAGGCAGCGGAGCAGCGTCAGGAGCTACGTTCCCATGGTTGCCAGTCACCAATACAGGCTCATACGCCATTTGATCCGATTTGATACTGGAGCCCATGTACCCCATGGTAACTGCTTTTAGTCTAACCGCTATCCGAACAACCTTCCTGACATGATACGACCTGCGGGAACATAAGTCGCAGCCAGTTTAGCTTGTTTGGTCATTGGGGTATTCATGCCCGACCACCACGACAAAGTAGCAGTTGTCCACCGGGGATTATTCCATCGCACCTTATACTTGTCCCACATAACATTTCTGATATAATTCTGATTTGCCTGTTTTACTGGCTAATGTATGGTAAAAAATGAATGGATTCATGATCGTAGAGCCTGAAAACACTTGGTCACTCTAACTATTTATTTCTGTTCTGAATAAATATGATTAAAGACATTTTAAATCTATTCCTTTTCTCTTTCCCTTCTGACATTGTTCATGTTTAGACAACAAGAATTAGATAATTTACTGCATAAACGTATGTACGCCGAAGCTTTACACTTGGCTATCAAATTGGATCAACCTAAACGAACATTGGATATTTTTCAGGGTAAGTAATTGTCTGATACTCATTCTTACATTGATGGATTTTAGTGTGTTTGTGTGTGTGTGCGAGTGTGTGTCAGTGTACCGAAGGAATAAGAAGGATTCCTCAAAAACCCACTTATATTTCTGTACTGTTGACATGCGATTTGTCCCCTCAAAATGTAAAATGATGCTGCAGGACTGGACTGGCCTACATTCACTCTTAGGTTAAAAATTAGGTGTGAAGTTGTTGGTGGTGCGTGTTGACCACTTCACTTATTTGGGAAGTTGCGTCGGCCAGCTCCAACGGAGTTGATCGCTGACAAAATCTCTACGTGAATACAGAAGGGTCGTTTCTCATGTGCCAGTTTACGCCATCTCTGGCTTAGTAGACGTGATATCCGGCCAGTTGTCGACCAAAGGGCGTGTGTACTGCTCAGCAGTCCACTCCGTCCTCTTTTATGGCTATGAAACCTGGCGATTGAGAATAGAAGACATGAAAAGGTTGGCTAGCTGTCTTTGATCATAGGTACCTGCGTTCCATCTTCCGTGTTAATCGGTATAATAGAGTGAGCCATATTGAGATTAGGCTTCAGTCGAGCGCTTGGTAAGGAGGGGAAATCAATCGACGTGGCTGTGAAGTGACACCGATTAAGATGGTCAGGACATGTGTCACGCATGCATCCCTGTTCATTGCCTTCGTCGACGGGCAATGTCAGCTGACATAGGGTAGGGCTGGAAAACAGCTAGCAGCGGTCGAACCAAAACATGGCACCAGTCAATGAAATCCACAACAGTTAGTTTAAGCCAGTCACGTAGGAAGGTGTAGACTTCCTGACTGGTTGGGGTCCTCGGGAGAGTAAAAACCAATGAAGCCTGGAAACAATTGGTAGTATGGATCAAAGTGTTCTTCAATGATGGCGATGATGCATCCACCCATTCCTTGTGACATAATTTCCAATGAAACTATATCGTTCTTCGTTATTGCTGTTCCTTTTGTCTCATATCCAAGTCTGCTGTCTCTATTTTGCATTTCTTCTACTTTCTTCTCTTGCTTTGTGTGCTACATGTGAGGAGTGTGGCGACTTGAACCGCTGCACATCGGTGCTAAGTTCTATGTTGAAACCAGTCAGTCAAACTGTTGGTAAGAAGTCACGCTTATCGTGCGAAAATTAATATTACCGCTAATCGGAAACTATCCTAACGTCTGTGGATCGAACTGGTGGGGATGTGACTCAACGACTTAAACAAATAATCTTTCATTCAAATATCATACTCCAGCTACTCCAGCTTGGTCGATTAAATACTGTCACCATATCTCACACAATATTTATAACTTATAGCCTGTTCTCCAGAACGGGGTTCGAATCTGCAACCACATGGTTAGTATTTATCCTTGTAGATCGATAAGTCATAGCTGTCTCTCTCCCTGTTGTATGTAGGTAGGTAGTAGGTACCTTCGTCTCCTAATGTAAATATGCTGTTTGAGACAGTTGAAAATTGTGGCACTGTTATTCAACTTTGTATGAGACACTGGTTAGACGCTACCTATCTAGAGAACCTTCAGAGAACCAAAGGTATTTTATGTTTCTAGAAACTTGAGGAGTGAGTCAGTATTCTGAGACGAAGTTCACTTGCTCCTATGGAGTTAAGTACTTGCTCCTAATTGAAGTGAGCTTTTGAAATTCTGCAGGAATTTATAAATCATCTCTCTTGGCGACCTAGAATGTGATTGGTTGTTTTTATGTATTTTCTCACCTTGTAATTTACTTGTGTTGATATTGATTGGTGTTGTTTCCTTGACCTGAAATTTATTCATACGATTTCCTTCTTATGGATTGGTAAATCTCAATGTGTCTATTGATTGACGATTCACTTGATTAATACCCAAAGTTGTGGATATTCTCTGGTTGTTTTAATGTTTCTTCTGTCTAATATTTGAACATTATTTTGATGTGACTATGTTCTTTGAGCTGAATGGTTTATTTTTGAGAAGCTTTCATTGCCTTACTAGGAAACATACCCAACTCAGTTCATACTTCAATTTGTTGAAGTGAGCTTTTAGAATTCTCCACGAGTTTATCAGTCATCTCTCCTAGTCACCTGATCTTGAATATGATTGGTTGCTTTTGTGTGTCCACACCTTCTAGGCTACTTATATTGGAACTGATTGTATCGTTGACTTGAACTTTGACCCTTTGTGATTTCCTTCTTATCGATTGGTAAATTTTGTCTGTCTCGATGTGTCTATTGATTGGCCAAAGTGGACGTCCTCTTCGTATTCGTATTCATGAATGTAAGTTAGCCGTCAAAAAACATGACATCCACTCCCTTTTATCACCTCGCTGCATACAGACAACTACGGACGTCAGTTCGACTGGGACAACGTTCAAATGTTAGACAGACGAAACACCAAGAATGCTAGAGAATTTTTAGAAGCCCGCCTGGTATTCCAGTGAATTGTCAATCAACAGACAAATCGATATAGACAAAATTTACCAATCGATAAGAAGGAAACCTCACACAAAGGGTCAAACTTCAGGTCAAGGAAATAATCAGTACCAATACAAGTAGCTACCTAGAGGGTGTGAAAACATGCAAAAACCGCCAGTCACTTTCAAAGTCAGCTAACCAGGAGAGATGACTGATAAACTCGTGAGGAAATCTGAGAGCTCATTTCAACAGATTGAAGTATGAGCTGAGTTGGAGATGTTTCCTAGTAGGGCAATGATGGCTTCACAAGAAAGCCATCCAGTTCAGATAACACAACCACATCAAAATCATCCATTTGAGCTGCAAATCTTCTGCATCATATTTGAACATTATCCCAATCGATGTTGTGTCTGTGGTCATGGAGTGATATGAGGGATTAGATATCGTGTCTTCTGACGGCCAGTTTGATGGTCATGCATTTGAAGACGAAGAGGGTGTCTACTTCGACCAATGTTGTAATGTTTTTCACTGTCTCCAGTATAAGTTAAGTACAAAGGTTCTATCAGCACGACACGCCCATGAATGCCTATCAACACAGAACACATCATTACTTCTGGTAATGCAGCATCAACAGAGACTTCATTCTTAGTCATATATACAGTATAATCACCGAATGATTGACTGACTGGTTACAGCTTAGAACTTTGCACAGATGTTCAGCACTTCGAGTTGCCACTTTTTCCTCCATGTACCACACAAAGCAAGAGAAGAGAGTAAAGTGAGATTCAAAAGAGAGAAAGATAATAAAGAGAAGTGTGAGGGAGGCTAATAGTAATATGGAAGCAGAACAATAGAACTTTATTGGATATTATAAATCACATAAATGGAATGCATCTGTGCCAGACATTGAAAACGAGGATTTTGAGCCAGCCTTCATTGGTTCTTACAATTCCAAATACCACAATCAGTTGACCTGATTGAAGTCTTGGACACTAAGAACCAACGGCTCGTGTTACTGTTGATGATACGCTTCAGAGGTGTTCTCAAATGCTAAAGATGCATTCACTCTTTGTGATTCCTCAAATCTACTAAACTCGCGTGTTTTCCCATGTTATTATTATTTTTTCTCGTGCATACTTCTGGAGGTCAACAGCACTCAGCATCAAAAATAAGATCCAGATTTTCAACTCCAATGTGAAGTCAGTGCTACTATACGGATGGATCAGAGACTTGCACTGCGCGTCATAAAGAGCATCTCAAACAAACTACAGACCTTCATTAACTGTTGTCTTCGCTCAATACCACTCAAGATCAGATGGCCAGAAAAGATCAGCAATAGAGATCTCTGAGAGCGAACCAACCAGGAACTGATTGTGAAAAAAATAGGTAGGAAGAAATGGAGATGGATTGTCCATACTCTTAGGAAACCATCAAGTGACATCACTAGACAAGCCATGGCTCGAGTGGAACCCGAAAGGGAAGCGGCGAGTTGGTCGTCAGTGTGAGGGTGACTTGGAGGAGGTCATGTGAAGAAGAGATGAAAACGTGTGGGCAGACATGGAGCCAGGTGAAGACTCTAGCAGAGAACCGAATGCAATGGAGACGCACGGCTGAAGCCGTATGTTCCTCTAGGGATTAAAGGATACAATAATAAATAATAATATTAATTCTGCTGTGTTCTAGATGGAGAATGGCAACGTGAACTGTTGCACTTCTGTGCAATCACTCACACAAACACGCTCGTAGACCCACTTTTCATTTTATAGGTCTTGAATATCTTCATCACATATTTCTTTGGACTTCCCAATGTAAACATGAGTGACAGTGTTAAGCCTAACTTTTATCTACATATTCCCTCTTAACTTTCTTGCATGTTTAATGAAAATCCTTGAATGACATGAATATGAAACAGTTTGCATTAATATGGATATTGATTTTTGTTTGTTTGTAGAACTGCTGACTCAACAAGACACCGGAGAATATACTAATAAAGATTATCAAATTAGAAGCAAATATCCTACACAAGCAGCCAACCTGTTGTCTATACTTGATGGTTTTGTGAATAAAATTCATTGTAGCAATGACAGTGGAGTTGATGATAGTGGTGTAGAAATGTTAACTCAACGCCTATTATCTTATGCTATCAATTGGAATACACGGACGAGAACATCAATGATTAGTCAATGTGTACTAAACTGGATTCTAACACGTTGGACCCCGGAAGAGTTATTAGAATGGCCTAATTTTAATCGAACAATACAATCGTTACTCCCGTATACAAGTAAGTTGATGTGTGGTTTAGATTATCGATTTTTTTATGTAGTGGAGATGTAGTTGATTCACTCTGGTCAGTGTGTCCGCATATTCGTATGCGGAGCTCTTGGTACTCAAGTAGTGGGTTACGGGTTCGGCCGTCTCTCATTCCCTAACCAAGATATGGACTGTCCGGTAGCATCCCTAGTCGTCACACACAGAATAGGCGTGACTCATTGCTGACTGCATAGAGTTTTAAGTGGTCCCCCTTTTTCATATGCTGTTCCACTGACCTCAGTCTTGGAAACGTGGAGCATTGTCAGAAGGAAATAAAAGACAAATTCAGCTAAGAAAATCTTCTTTATCGACGAAATCATCTCCACAGGGCTGTTCAGTCGTATTTATATTTACCAAAAATGTATAGTATAGTATAGTCTACTATTGAGTCATAGGGGTGGGGGTGACATAATTGATATAATTACTCAGAAGCAGATTTAGAGGTACAAAATAAAAGTTGCAAATTACGTGGTACTCAACAGCACACAGTTAGAAATTTGATAAGGTCAAATTGTTATTCAGTAGTGAGAAGAAAGGTGGTAGTTGAGTGTCAATTGAACAAGTGTGAAGAGGGTGAGAAGAAAAAGTACAAAAGGAACATATGAGAGTGATAATAGTGAAGAGTTTAAGACCTAGGTAGAATAAGAGACTGGACAAACTTTCTTCTCTATACAGAGTTCGGCGTTGTATTGACGAATTGCCAGCGCCTCCGCCATACACAAAAGCCAAAACCTGACACCCTTTGTACCATTCAATCTTCACCTTGTAGATGAAATTTCAAAGACAACTCTGGTGGAACTACGTGGCTTGAGTTCACCAAGTGAAGCGGTCGAGAATTGAGCTAGTAATCGTCTTGCATTGTCCTTTAGCTAACCATGCCGGATAATGTTCAGAGATGCGTTAAGAAAGTGTGCACCAAGTTGTGAGACCAATATAACTAGCTCCACACGAGCAGGTGGATTTCTAAAGACACATATTGAGATGGTCAGTCCAAAGTGGCAGTTTATCCTTCATAAATCCGTTGATCATTTGTCGGCTGTAGAAATTGATCAGTAGCTCAACCGTAAAGAAGGCTTTCCTCAGTGATCTGCAACAGCGGTTCTTCAGAAGTTTATACACATCCACTGTCGCTGGTAACCGATTTCATCAAAAATCCGTACTGGATAGCTGGATTCAGGTAAAGTTAAACTTTAAGCATCACTAACTGCCATTCAGGGAATGGTCTTGAACGGACCAGTCACATGAAAGGGGCATTCTTGGTTATGGAAAACATATATTTATGAAAACAAAATGCATAAAAACTACACAAAATTGTTACATTGGGTACCTTTCTCTGACATGTAATGAAAGACATTTTTCAGTTTAGCATGGGAGTAGCATAGGGGTATCAATTATAAAGTTACACCACATTTTTTACATATATTCATCTAAATGACTATAAATGACATCCTTTTGAGATCCATTAATAGCCTTGATCGTGTTTTTCAACCTTCCCCAAAAGCCTATAGAATTGGTGTGTGTCCCTGTAATGGGATCCACAAAATCATTAGAATGATTCACTCTATGGTGATTATATCCAAAGGATCCCTGTTTCACAAGTCGAGTGATAATAGGTACTTAGGTAGTTGACTTTCTGTCTGCTATCCTGTCGACGAATCATTTCTGTAGAGAGGTGTCATATAAGCTGATCAACTAAACATTGTTTGCTCGTTCACGACCACGGTTGTATTTTTTCTTCAATAAGACAGTTTCATCCACGTGTACGATGACATCTCCTCCTTCTTATAACGAAGTAATTCTCTCGATTTTCCATGACGCGATGTCTCTGCAGTACTGGTACCACTGAACTGTTAATACGACACTATTTTCAGTTTCAACAGCTGCACATCTCACAACTTGTTTTAAAACCCAGGAATTACAAATATACAAAATCTGGGTTAAGGACAGATGGGATCTGGCAAAAATGTTTTCTAAAGAATATTAGAATCATCAGCTTACCTTCCCTGACATCAACTTGTCTCAAACAATTTTCGCAACGATGGATATATCCATCAATCGACCTGCTGAAGCTTTTCATACACATGACACCTCCATATAAACAAATCCTTCCCTTCCTAAGCAACCTCATATCTAAGCAACACTGGAAAACCTTATCCTCACCAAATTGCAAGCGTCACTGCGTTACAGTAGGAATTTGACTCGAATCAAGTGGAATAGAGGCTTCAATTCACCTGGATGAAACTCACTGAACCATTCAAGGTTATTCGCTGATTGATGGTGGTTAGTGGTGCTCAAAGTTTAACTTGGCCTGAATAATAATAATAAACCTTTATTCTGCATAAAGTGTTTACACAGTGTGCAGTATGTAGCGTTTTCATCTTCACCGAGGATTTTGAAGTAAAATGACGATCTAAAGTGTATCTATCATGTGCCGCAATGCTATTCCTTTTGAAGCATAGTCCAATATATATTTTTCTGTCGTTTCCGAGAAATATACACCGGTAGTTTGAAAGGCAGTCAAAAATGTGCGAGTGCAGCTTGCAACTCAAGAATGTAATTGAATGGATAAAACAAGAAGAATTAGAGAAAGTGTAATGCATTATTATGTTGGATAAAATTTGAGTTGGCTCAGTGATCCACAACAGATCGCTTTCAACATGAAATCTCACAGTTTAGTTTTAAACTTTTTGAAAAATTCAATAACTCCTGGATTTTCATCTGGTAATGCAGATAGAAATTTAAAACGTAGAAATAACAGAAATAAAGAGGAGGGTTAGATAAGAAAGGTAATACTGTAGGGTAATGATTATTGGTTAGATTGACTTTTCATGATGGTCACCATAGGGACAATTGTTGAACGTATTTCTTGTGAACACAGTGTTGGTTTGAGTTTTTGGTTCGCCAGTGACTCGCCTATTCCTAGATGCCTTGATTTCACTCTCTTTGCAATTGAGGTTTGATTGGATCTTGTATATAACTTTGAAGGCCTTTTCAAATGGACCTGAATGTACTGAATCCGCTAGATGTTCTGTTACCGAACTGTATACACCCTTGCGTTCGCCGTTTGCTAACCATACCGAGCGCCTTTCACGGTCAATGTACTCAGCTTGATCTGAACAAGTTAACTGGTATATCCCTGTTTAAGTGACCCAACGAGACAACTTGTCTTTTACGTGCTGGTTGAATAGTTTCTTGCAGGAAAATGTTATTCGTAGGCTGGCGGCAAAATATGTTTTACTGAGAGACTTCGAAAGTCGTCTACGAAGAAGTTCAGCTCCGGTATCAAGTTTAAATTCGAGGTTGAGTATCAGCAGCTTTTTTTTGGGGGGGGGACTGGAGCCTTTTCAGGCATTTTCTTTGATTTTAGATTCTTGGTAAACCATTTTTATCAAGGTCTTTCGAAGATAACGCAATTCTTCGTCAATTGACTCTTCAGTACAAATTTTCTAGATCCTCAAGGAAAAAGAGTATATTAGGTTTCTCTTTTTGTGCTTAGAGACACGCATCTTTAAAAGTTGATAAACTGTCTCTTCCATGCGGGCTTTTTTGGATTCATCTCAGCGAGTTGTCAGCATTCCTTCACAGTTGAACATCGAGGAAATAAAACATGGAGTCAGACTCAACTTCCATAATGAAGTTGATGTTTAGATGGGCATTATTGAAGGTTCAATAACGCCGTGTAACACTTCTCCCACTAAGTGTAATATGTTCGTATATAATTACGTAAAGCAACACAATACATTGTATGAACCTTGATTCTCATTTATTAAAGTCATCACAAAATTAATTTGTCCTCTGTCCTTTTATTTTACACTCATAGATCGTCATTATCAGCGTATCTGTCGATTGGAAGAACAATTAGCCGTCCTGGATTATATTTCAGAGTTGACCGATGAACACTTAGTTCCCACGACTACTACTACTATGGATTATGATGGTCTAAAGTCTGTTGTTGAACCAATGGAGTTGGATGACGATAGAATGGATTTACCAGTTGATGAGTAAATCCCTGTGATGCTTCAGTGATATTGAATTGAGGTAAAGTGGATTTTTTTCAACCGAGCAGTTTACATTTCATAGCTTAGTAGTTGAATTTTAAGCATCATTGTATGTCATTGTATGTACCCGTAGGAGAGGGAATTTCATCGTATAATCAATGCATGCTTCACTTCATGTTCTCTTTTATTGTCAGCAATGTAAGTTCTGGCACTTCTCATCAAGGAAAGCAAACGACGTTTACCTACCGTTTGAAATATTTTGTATTTCTGGTTGGATGACTATTATTATTATTCCATTGAGTCCCGAGTGGAACATCGAGCTTCAACCGCACATCTCTATTTCATCCTGTTCTCCACACTTCTCTTTATCTGCTTCCACAACTGCCATCATTTCATTTCCTCCTACTCCTCACGTAATCTCCTCCATGTCATTTCCAAACCCACACTTTACTCGTCGTTTCTTATACATGTCCCACTGAAAGTGCATGTCTTGCGTATGTACTGTTCAGCATTTCGCTCTGTCCTCCTTCATATGGCTGTGAGCGGGACATGGCCATTGAAAGTGGAAGACATTACAGGCTTGGATAGCTGTCTTAGATCTTAGTTGCCTGCGTTCTATCTCCCGGGTTAAGTGGTATAATAAGGTGAGCAATATTGAAGTGAGGCATCGGTCAAGTGCTAGGTAAGGAGGGAAGATCAGTCGATAAGTTTGTAAAGTTAAAACGATAGAGATCGTTAGGACATGTGTTAGGCAGGCATTCCTAGTGATCGCCTTCCTCGACAACAGGCAATGCTAGCTGATATAGGATGGGTCTGGTTAGTAAAGAGCTAGTGTTGGTGGTCGAACCAGAATATGGCTCCATCAGTCTATGAAATCCACAATAGTTAGTTTGAGCCAGCCAGCCACCTAGGGAGGTGTAGACTATTTGGCTGTCTGGTTGAAGTCCTTGGTTCTTCCATATTACTATTCTTTTTGTCTCATATCTCTGTTAATTATCTTTCTCTCTCTCTCTTGAATCTCTCTTTACTCTTTTCTGTGGCTTTGTGTGGTACACGGTGGGAGAGTGGCAACTGGAAGTGCTGCACATCTGTGCAAAGTTCTCCGTTGAAACTTGTCAGTCACTCAATGTCTGGCATCCGATGAACGGTCTCCTCAGCCTCTATTTTCTTCATCATCTCTGTTGAGTGATAAGTTCTTAGTTGGTTTGTTACCTTTCTAGTCATAAGATCTCCAGTGTGTAACGAAGACAGCTGTTGATAAGAGTCTTTAGTCTGTTGGTAATGGTTCTTATGACGTGTTAAGTCTCTGATCTGTGTATATAAGAAGGGACAACATTGATGTTGAGAGTTCAACTTTTGTTGTTTATACTTCCAATGTTCTTCCACACAGGTTTCTTCAGTGCTACCACATAGTGTCTCCGACTTCGCTCTGACCTGATCTGTAGTGAAGGTGTCCCTTGTAGTTTCTGAATGCTGAACTTGTATTGTGGCCTGTCTCCATTTAAGGTTGAGATGAAATCTATCTGGTTTATGATGTGTCCATCAGGTGGAATCCTTGGTACTTTGTGTATATACTTGTGCTTGTACACGTTGCCTCCTGTCACCAAATCATTGATAGCGAAGAAGTTTGCGAATAATTCTCCATCCTCATTCATTTCTCTGAGAGCTCCTGTCCGTTATGAGTTCTCCTCCTGTATTGTCTGCTCCGAGTTTGGCATTTATATCGCCCATGGGGATTTTGATGGCACCATTCGGGTTGTTGTCCATTACTGTTTGTAGTTATCTGTGAAAATCTTCCTTCTTTTGTTCTGCGTTGTTTTTAGCACTTTGCGTAGCATTGGGTAATTGTGACCTTCCTTCCTTTTGAGTTAAATCTCTCTGTCATTATCCTGAATGATTAGGGTTGGTTTCCACTGGATTTGGGCTTTGGCTACCACTGGTGACATCATGGTAGTCACTGACTGGCTCAGTGTCCTCGTGGTTATCGTCTGGGTGACCAGACTGGAGTAGATTGCTGACTCACCAGTTGACAATTTTGACAATCCACATCCATTCTATCTGTTCACGCAGCTACCCAGGACTTCTGTGCCATATCTTCGCATTTCTCTGGCTACTTGGGCAGCCTTCCTAGCCTCTTACATTGTACTAACATTCCACCTACCCATTCTTATTCTTGCTTTCGTTGAGAGAGAGAAGACACATCTGTTGGCTAACTGGCTTCACGAAGACTGGCTTTCACCAGCCTGCTGTGTCATTCCGCCTCTCCGATTCGAGCGAAGAATAAGTTTGTTATTTGAATTTTTTGTATTTTTAATATGTTTGTTGTTCGTTGACGTTTCTGTAGAAGTTTGAATGGTTTAGTGGTGTAGGGTCTCTCCGTCTTTACCCGACCTTGGGACCGGCTATTAAACTAGGCGAGGATAGATTACGGATAGACAACGTGCATCGTATCTCCAAGTAGGTTAGAGTTTCATGTTTGTCAGTCGCTAGGTCAGATGAACTTGTTCTTTGAGTATTTCATCTGTTGCAGTCACCATCTATCCTGATACTTTTTTCCATCCGTTCTCGTTCCTCCAGGAACACTGAGCTTCAGTGTTTTTACGCTCAACCGTCTCTTTTCCGACCTTACTGTCGAGTAGTAAACTGGGTAAAGTTGACTGGTTATATTGGACCAAAATGTTCGGTAACTGCTGACATGTTGGCTCCTAGAATGTACACATTCACAATGTCTGAGAGTTAATCTGACGTTATTTAGTAGATGACTAGCAGTGTGCATTTTGTTCTATTTGAGGCTCATCATCTGAATTTACCTGCGATCTACAGTGAGTGATGGTGTTTCCATTGAGACTTGAATGAGGTAGTCTTCTTCTTCTAAAACACCAAAGTGTTTTCCAATCAATCACCCGGGCCCTGAGAGTCAGTTCTATTTTACTTTTCCTGTTGATGAACTGGACTGAAATGTTAGTCCTTTGTTGACATCTTTACTCCCCTAATATCGACACTTCGACGAGATGAATGTCCTTATCTTCGAATTGAGTAAAACATGGATAATCCTTGTTTCCGGCCCCTTGGGATAAGTATGCACGATGATTTACATTTTGTTTTTGAACTACCTCAATGTCATAACTTGAGCATTAAAATCATTTGCTAATGTGTAACTACCAACATCTGTGCATCTTTTGTTATTCGCAACATAAATCTGTCAGCCTTTGTTACATACTACTTAAATAGATCAGTAGTACATACCGTTTTATTTGCTTTTCTCTCCTGTTAACATTCTCAGTTCTTGATGTGTTGATTCTGAAATCGAAAATTGTGAATAGGGTTAGATATTTTGATGATAATCGACGTATATCATTTGTCATGTATTCTGTGACTGAAGATATGCCATTAGTTTCTCTTATATGTAGTATACCTGAAAAAGTCCGCGATGTGGTATAGTGTTGTGCGTTTGTTTGTGTGTCTGTTTAAGCAACGTGGAGTTTACCTTGTGTTATTTTTTCTCTTATCTAGGTAGATCAACACTGAAGTGGATTCCGACGCCTAAGCGTGAATAGACAATAAATCGATTGTATATAATAAATATTTGTCTGCTTGTATTTGTATACGTATGTATATATATCCGTTTATCTGATTTCAAGAGGATTTTCGCCAAACATGATATATCCAGTTATCAAATACATTCTTTTCTGAAGTATATCATCAGTGTTTTTCTGTCTGTTTTAATGATTATATTATTGTTCGCTTGGGTTCCGAGTGAAACATAGGACTGGCTTCAACAACACATCTCCACTTTCTTCTATTTTCTGCCGTCCTCTTCAGCTTCAACCACGATTGATCAAACTCTCTCATCTCTTCGTTACATGATCTCCTGCATGTCACCCTCGCAATGACGATCCACTCGTCGCTTCCCACTCAGATTTCACTCGGGAGATGGTCTGCATTGCGCGCGATGTCATTCGACGGCTTCCTCAACGTATGCCTTATCCATCTCTGTTTTCTCCTACATATTTGTTGAGCGATTAGTTCTTGGTTGGTTTGTTCCCAGCCAGCCAGAGTTTCTTGTTTCTAATTCTTTCTGGCTGGTTGGCCATTTGATCTTCAGTATGGTGCCGGCAAATACGGCATGTGTTGATGAAAGTCTACGACTTGTTGGAAATCCTTTTCGTGATACACAGTGCAAGTTTCTCACCTGTATAGAACAACTGACTTCACATCGGTGTTGAAAATGCAAATCGTGTTCCTTATGCTAAGTGTAGAAGATTTCCAAACTGGTTTCAGGTTGATGAAGGCGTATCTTGCCTTTTCGATTCTGGTTGGTTTTGACATCTTCATCCGTTCCGCTGGCCTGTAGTTCAAACGATGCTTCCTAGATAAGAGAAGGAGGTATCCTCTGTTTTAATAAGTAAACATGAAATGTAGTTGTTGGATTAATCCTTTCTGGCTTTTACCTGCTGGGTCAATAGTTCGAGTCCCGTTCCTACTTACTCTATTCGAGCACATAATAATAGTGATAATAGCTTTATTCTGGAAATTATTATGTTTTTGATGTAGTTGTGTTCTCTGAGCTGGATGGTTTATTTGCGAAGCTTTTATTGCCTCACTAGGGAACATCTTCAGCGCATACTTCATTTTGAAGTGATCTTTAAGAATTCTGCAACTTGAGTTAGAGAAATAACTCACAACAGTATCTTCAATGACAGCAGATTCAAAAGAGAAAAGCTTCTGTACATAGCCACAGATCGCTTATTCTCAAGACTGGTATAATTACATCAAGCTATATGCTACTGATTGTTGTAGATAAGTAAGTAGCATATCACTCATATTAACCAGCAGTGCTTGCTGACAAACCAGATCGCGGCGATTTGAACACCGGACGGCCATTTCGCTCGTTTGAGGCCGAGCTCCAAACCGAATACATCCATCTGGTAACAGACCATCTGGTGAATTCAGGACATTTAGCACTGTTTGAAAAGTCGTAATAAGTACCCCTCTTGCAAAAAAGGAAGTGAAATCAAGCCATCTGGGAATAGCTGAGGCAATAGCGACTCAAAGGTTTATGCCCACGATGCCATGTATTCAAAAGGAAAGACGGATTTAATTAAAATTTAAATCTTTTTCCCATGTTATTTTTTCTAGTTCTACAAACGATTAAACCGTAATTTGTTATTTACAAAGTGAAAGTATTTCTGGATGAAAATGTTTACCACACTTTGTCCCTCAGAACCCCCCACATATGTATTGAAGTAACGATACGTTATTTGTTTACCGCCGACTTGAATGATACCACACAAGAAGAGAGCAATAAAAAGGAAAATACAGCGTTGTCTTTTGGGAATTGTGAAAAGGCAAACACCCTACTGCTGAGGCGAATATTTACACAATTGATACAATTTGTTTTCGTATAGAGTCGCATTTAACTTGATAAATAAGGCTGCCATCAAATAAAACGTTTCATTCAATTTGAACTTTCCCGTAACACATATCAAAAGAAGCAGTTCATTCCGGTCCATTCCATGAAACGGGAAACTCAAGATTGAATTAAAATATGATAACTGACACTAACACCCATTGCACAACAGGTGGTTTTCGTTAACCAAGTGGTCTAATGGATTACGCTCTGGCATTTGGGATGATGAATACTGTGTTCGAACGTCAGTGGGAACACCATCCTTCACTGATTCACTGGGGGATGCAGGTACATCCAGTCGACGAGTCTCAAATAAGAAAAACGGAGTGTTCTTTGTCCTGGATTCCACTTTTGGTCACCATCTACCAAATTACCAAACATCATCGAAGCATCCGGAAAATAAGCCTGTATGTCAATAGCTGCCGAGCACTTCGGTTCGGTCAATTAACGGTAAAATACAAACTTATTCTCACTAGTGACTTGCTACAGGACAGAGTTTCCTGGAGTTCTAGTGAGAAGTCGTGACCAGTAAGGTACATCCAGTTAAGTTTGAGGATGGATTTCCTGTCGATGGCATGGATTGGTGGTCGCGCTAAATCATGAATTGGTGGAAGTTAGAATTCATGCACTGGCCATTGAATTTGGTCCCAGTGGCTGAATGATATGTGAACTTGCCTTGTAACTGGAAGGTCCTAGGTTCGAACCCAAGTGGGTGCGTGCTGCCGATGATTTCTACACTAGAACTAAGGAAACAGTTGTCCAGTACTCCATGGCTTTCAGTGGTTCTCTAACTGATATCAATCCGTGATCAACTCGTAAAAGCAAAACTAATCCTTACAGATCAACTCTTCAATTAAAGTTGACTAAAATCGTTTAGACTATAAGCGAATGTGAAAAACTTGCTTCTGATACATAAACGCACACCTCCGACCTCAAGAACGTTTGATGAATTGGTTCTACATTAGGTAAGTGATATCGAAAATCAGTTAACCGAAACAGTTTGTTCATATAACAGAATGTAAGCCACACTTATTTGAACGCGATCAAATGATACTGCTTACTTACGCATAGTGAGGTAGGTAGAGAAGAATTCGAACCTAAAACTTAGTAACTTAAAATCGAGTGCATAAGTCACTGAGAGTTACGTATCTACCTAGCGAAATGTAATTGATCGGAAACACCGGCAGTCAAAGTATTGCAATGTTTTCATACGATTATCAAGATAATTCTCCACACGAATGTAAATCCAATCACTAGGCGTATCAAATTGGGTTTGTGTTGAACAATTTATAAAAATGTACAGACTACTAGTGATATTGTAGGTACCCCATTTCATAAAACCGACTGAGTTTCAGCATACAATACTGAATAGAAGTGCAGCAGTTCGAACTGCCACACTCCCTACATACATCACACAAGAGAAGAGAACAAAGTGAGAGAAGGAACAGAGATTCCAAAAAAAACAATAATAAATAGAAATGTGAAGGAGTAAAAATAGTAGTATGGAAAAACAAGACTCCTCAAACCCTTAAGGAGTAACTTAGCTACAAATCTTCTCCACCATATATAAATTATTAACTCTTGCATAGAGCACAGAATTCTGAACGCATTCCCTTGCAAACTGTTTCCTCGTTGTTGTACAGAATATTCTTTGTATGAAATCCTCATTGATAGTATACTTCATATGACGTAACGTCATTTTATCAAGAACAAAACCTTATTTTCTACGACATTCTTCCTACTTAGACTGGACATTAGAGTTCAACTGTTGCTAATCCTTTCTGATCTTCAATATGAAGAAGAGGCAACTACCGATTGATGAAAGTCTTTTGGAATCTGTTAGAAATGCGCCCATTCTCCTATGGAATCAAACTTGATATTATTGTCCACGTCGGTTGTGTGCATTTAAATCAGCATCCAAAATGGAATCGACCATTATTTCATTTTCTAAATTAACCACATGCAATTCTGTCAATCACAATGCAGTTTCTGATATAATACGCCTTTATTCTTGACTATTGTATGATGTTAGCATTATTGAAATTATATTTGCAGAGAAAGAGGAGAAAATTCCAAAGTTGGTGGAAACAATTGTTCCACTCTAATTATTCTTGTTGTGAATAAGTTGTTGGAAAAATAAATGAACTTTCTAATAATGTGTAACCTACTTTTTAATTTCACCGGAAATTTTCATGAAAAGGACAAAAGCCTAACTGATTCTTGTTCACAATATATATTATACGATATAATTAGAAAACTGAAAACCAAAATTTGTCCTCAAAACATTAAAATACATGATGATTGAAACCGCTTTATCCAGAAGAGTTTGTTGATAAAATTTGGGAGAATAAAACAGTAATTTGTGTACATTTCCCCTTTCCCCCGCCCCTCTACTCTCCTCTTGTTCGAACAAGTCAGTATTTATCAAAATTATGCATTGAAATGGAATGATATTTTTGAAGTTACTGTGTATATCAACTTTGAATTCAAATTTGATCAGGCTACCGACATCTGGAGGACAAAGATCTCACAGTCGCTGAAAACGACATTCGTTGTAGCATCGTTGTGAATTAGTGTTGTATTTTTCTTTTCAGTCGACCATCAATGTTCTATAGCTAGAGATGCAAAAAAATATCCAATACATTCCTACAGGAGGTCAATCATGAGGCCGAATAGCTCAATGGTAGCGTCTCTGACTGCAGCACTTGGTGACGCAGGTTCGAATCTCAGAAGGGACATGAGTTCCTTCAAGTTTTCAGATACGCCTTGCTGATGAGTGCCAACTAGTACGAAACCTAGCTCGAAAGCTTCCTGCCGAATCCCTCGAACCGTCTTATACCAGACAAGATCCCGTAGCTGACCACCAGTTTTGTATGCGACTACCACTTCGTCTGATTTTTTGGAGCTAGGTACATTGGTCCTTATCTAAAGAGCGAGAAATAACCTGACCAAACCAATAGATGCCCAACTCATCTTTATCGATGAAGCTCTGGTCATCGAATGAAGATCATATGCTTCTTTTCCAATGGCAAATGAGTTCGGGTCCCAGTGGCTGAATGGTATACGTGCTTGCTTGCTTGTAACCGGAAGGTCCTTGATTTGAACCAGAGTGGGTGCATACTGGCGATGACTCCCAAACTATGATGAAACAGCTGTCCAGTACTGCCTGATTTTCAGTGGTTCTCCAACTGATATCAATGCGAGGTCAAACTCGAAAAAAAATCAAATCCTTACAAATCAAATTTTGAACGTT